CCTTTTGCTTGGCCTTTTCGTATGTAGCTCTAGATGCTGTATTATCGTCAGGTAATGAAATCGTTCCATCTACGTGATCCCAGACATCTTTCGCCATCAACAAATGTTTCATTTGAAACTTCCATGTAGGCCAGTTCGACCTATCTAATTTTTCGATTTCGAATTTATCTCCAATTCCAGCCATGTGCAGTGGTTTGGTTCTGGGCCCATAACCTGTTGTTTTTGAGATTCTATCGACTTGTTCACTGCGAAACATGCAACTATCTAAACTCTACGTGACGCGTGCTAAAAAGTTCTACCTCAGCGATCATTAGAACTTTCTAGAAGCTTCAAATTAGCTGACAATAGAGCAGCAAGCAATCTACTCTAACCCGTGTCCTACACTAGCTACTAATTACGAAGGTCATTAGTTTACTTACAAACGCAGCAATTACGTACTGTTGAGTGCACGTTCCCAACATCGTGCCCCCTGCCCCTCCCAGTCACAACTCCCCTCAAAAACAACTTAAGTGTTTGGCGCCGTTTATTCGCTGATGCGTAGTTTCTCTCCTTCTTGCGCTCTATCCTCTCAAGAGGCTGCTTACGGGTTGACCAAAATAAATTTAACACTAATGACTTCCGAGAAAAAAAGAACGAAGACATCATAACTTTGAGCGCGGAGAGACCAAAGGATAAAATAGAGAAGAAAATTCCAGTTATGGGGAAGTTTCCACTCTCAGGCTAAAGACAGAGCTGACTTGGAACAAGCAGAAATAAAGTTTCTGTAAGCTATTCACCTTGCGTAATAGCATCAAGAGAGCAAAGGGACATTACAAAGAGCTTTAATGGGAAGAAAGAAAACGACTATACCAAGATGGAGCAATTAGAATCACTCGTAGCAGAAGATCTATTGGCTGATGCACCACAACCTTCTTGTCTGAGCCCACTTCTTTTCAATTTTCATAGCTGACTTTCATACTGTTGTTTCCCAATTATGCACTTGCCCATGTTAGCATTGTCACAATAAATTTTAACAAATAAACATTTTATTATCAAGAGTAACAGGCTGCCGGTCGCTGCTGCATGCATACATAACAAACTCAATTCTACAAAGGTATGGCATGCGAATCCTGTCGATGTGAATCTTTCACCTCTCTACGAATTATTGTAATTATTGTGCTTCAACCTTAGTCCAAGTCACCACAACTGGGAAAATCTGACAAATTTGTTCCCCATTGTACTTAACTTCTTGGGCAACTGATATCCCAGACAATCCAGACAAAGCCAGACCAAGGAATCGTTACTTTAAAAGCACTTCTGCAAATCTGCATTTTGAGCTACCTTCCTTTAGGCTGGATCAATGTGGAGAAAACTATAATTTTTAAGCAAAGACTTCTTGGGAAAATTGTCTACGATAATACTGTGGTTAGCTTGCTACTTATCCTATGTCAGATCTGTGCAACTTTAAACGTCACGTTGTAGTAAAAGCTCTTTCCTTAAAGATACCACCCTCATGTCGTAATAAAGTCTCAATGTTTTATATGGGGTGATTTTGTTCTAACTTTCGCACTAACAGCTTGAGTATTGAGAAGACTGCAAAAAGACTAACGAAGAACTTATGTCGTGTACATAGGCCTTATCGTTGCCACTGCTAGTCGAGTACATTGTTGTGTGCAGGGGGTTCACCTTGAGTTTTCAACTTTGGTGTTGGGCTTGCGTTGGGGGAACAAATTTTGTTACCAAATACAAACTTATATCTATGAGACAAGTGCAAGGGCAATGACCCCATTGACCTCACTTCGGTGTAGCCACTGACTCCATGGTAAAATGCCAAATTCAATAGGACAGAAAATTGTTCATAAGGCCAAACTTTCTAAAATAGCAAAACAGTAATAGAAACAATGAGTGGTCTCTGAGTGATAACAGAAATGCTTCACTGACCTTCCACACAGTCCCCCGTCCAATTAACTCCTATGCCGTTCCAAAGATGCTCCAGAAGGTTGTGGCATTTTTACCAATGGGATCATCTCACCATGGCTTTGCTTGTGATGGGGTTGGAAAAGATTACAGAAAGGGAACAAGACTGTGGTTTGTATCCTGGCATTTTCAGGTTAAGCTGTCGGAACTACAGAAGTCTAAAACAGGATAAAATGGATAGATGTTTATCTTCATAAAATGCTCATGAAACATCTGAGGTTTGACATTGGCATGAAAATTCATGAGAAGGATTGCTATTACGAGGAATTTTAAACACCCCGCTCAAATTGAACAAGCATCTCTTTTTTGGCAAGAAATCCATGCCATGCATTTCTTAATGCGCTAGTTCGACCAGTAGGTTAAAAAGAAGCATGGCCCATTAAATTGGTTTTCGCTTTAACAAATCTTAGGTAAGCCAAATTAGCTAAAAAAAGGAGCTTCATTACCCTTCCATGCTATTCAGTGGGCTTGGGCTGCCATAAGCTTAATGAACGGGGGGCTTAACAACTCCAATGTTAGAAGCACCATGATTCTTTTTCACGGGGAATATATAATAATGGCAGGGGAAAAAGCTTATCTTTAACTGGCAGGGTATGGGTTAAATTTGACCTCACAAATAGGTATCAAAAAGAAAAAGGTGATAAAATTTTCGAGAAGTGAAGACTGGGAGCAGAGAACTCCAGCTTGCAGTGGGCTCGGGGAATTGAAAAAATGCCCGATCTTTCGATCTTTCGGTCATTCGATCTTTCGAAAAGGAACTTTCTCGTTAGAAAATTTCTCGTCAGGGGCAGTTTTCACCTGTTACAAAAGAGGGGTTGCAATAGATACCTACGTCTTGGGTAAGACCTTTCTGATTTTGATTCTGGATGATACAAAATTTTGCTATCACACTTGGAGGAAAATGATTGAGACTTATGACACAATTTTAACGAATAACCAATACAACGAATAACCGAGGAACATCACTCAGTTGAAGCAAATACAACAACCAGCCCAACTGTAGTCAAAGGAATTTCGATATTTGATTTGGTGAAGCTCTGTTGCCTCAATTGAGAGCTACAAGAGCTATTTGCTCCATTTGATTTTCGAGGAATCAAATATCAATTTGAATTGATTGCCCAGAGTTGCACAGCTATTATTGTGCAAATAATTGTTTAATCAAGAGTAATTTCTACCGCGTGCTTATGAAAGTCAGGTGTTTACACATTCAGACGTTAAAAGCACTTGGGGTTGCTTTCCCCGTACATGCACGTCAGTGTCGTCGTTTGTAAGACAAGAATCGTCAATAAATATATACTGATGAAGACTTCGGTCGACACCTTTAAAAGATAGTGTATTTTTGAAAATCTAAATGTATATATCTGAGCACATGCGGGTGATAATGTAAGGTAATGGGTACAATTTTCAGCTTTGATACGATACCGTTTTCTGGATATTAGAGCTGCGGTCATGGGGAAACCAAACATATGCGTTCCATTTTGTTTAGGAGACTTTCAAAAGGGGTTAAGGGGCAACCAACAAGGTTTGAGCATTTTACAGTAAATAAAAAGCTTGAAAGAAAAGCGGAGACTGATGAAAAATGTCATTGCATTCTTGAAGAAATATAGAAAAGAGGATATTGTGATTTCCATTCTAGCCAATGCAGTCAAATGAAGTTATTGCAGCAAACACCAAGTATCCAGGTATTGTGGTTAGTGAACATTGCCGCGAGACTGGCCTCTCTTCTGATCCCCTCATGCTTCGGATTCAAAAGCAAATGACAATTTTTCATCTTAGCAGGTAGGAAAAAAGTTGGTAATGTTAAGTGTCTACGGATATGACAAAGAATTGAATTAAAATCTAATTTGTATTGCAGTCTACTCTGTCTACGAAAAGCGAAGGCGAAACAAATGCAACAGCAGCTGGTTCAAAAAGCGCGTCCAAATGCGGCAGTTATTTGGTTCACTGATAAACAAGAGCTAATAAAGAAAAATATTTGTTATTGTCAATTGCTTTGTTACGCAACCACGTGTATTTTAATCGAGCTATTATTTACTATGACAAGACTGGACAGGCTTGGCGCACATTCCATGGTACTATCTATGGCATAGCCATACAAATGATGCTATGGCATAAATAACCGGGGGACCACAAACAGTTAAATTTATCGACAAAGACAAAGAGCATACATAACATACATACACATACATTTATGCATACATACACATACACATACACACAGACATAGGGGATGTTAGTGTCACACCACCTAAACCCCATTACAAAATCATTATTTTCTTTTGCTGTCTCATAATCTGCTATAACGCGATAGGAGACATAATCTGCGATCATTTGCTATAATAGAGCCTGAGGGCCTCTGGCTCTCAGTTACCGAATTGTCGTTACCGATATTTTATCTCGCTATTTACAGACCGTTGTCAAAGATGGATGTTGATATTAGTCTATATAAAAACTTCATGTAGTTTAGACTGTTTGATAGCGATAGCAATTTACTATAATTTGAATATTTAGATAATTCTCGAGTCTGACCGAAATTTCCTGCTGAAGTGAACAAATTCAATTAAAAATTACAGAAAAAGCTAAAATTTTAAAACGCGGGCCTGACCGCGTTTTAAATTTTAAGATACAGCATGAAAATTTCGGCACGGTTTAATTTCAATAAAAGATTCCACCACTTTGACCCACTTTGAGGAAATACCGACAACCCTTACTCGGAAAAGGTAATACAGGACAAACTGACCGTTATGAAAAACTTTCCATCCGTGAAAAAATACTTCTCCAAAAGTGTTCTTCGCACTTGAAAAACCAGGCAGCTGCTACGTAAGCCAATAGCCCACAGTGCTTTTATCCTGCATTGCATTCGAAAAGCCTGCATTTCGTTGCGTCATATCGAGCAAAATACTATCTTATTATCGAAAAAGAGGGCAAATGCTCGTCTCTGAATAAGGTAATGTATGATATGGAATAAAAGCACAAGCTTTTCATGCTATTGCTTCTGATTTTAACTTTGAAAAAATAGAAAAGTTCAGAAACAACGTCATCAATGAGTTAGGCAATTATCGATCAAATCTATAAACTTACTATCATTTTATTGAGTAGCAAATAAGATTTACTAAACATTTGAATGTAGTAAAATTATCAAAAATTCTTAAAAAGGAGAATTATTGTTTCTAATTACTTCCAAAAGTATGACTTCTACAAAATGATGTGAACTGTATTTCCTCTAATAGCCACCCCGGCGTTTTCTTTTACTTTAAATCAATTTGACACGGCGTTTATTAGAGAGGCACCAAATTCAGCACCAAATGTTTGCCTTATAACAACAGATAAACAAACTTCTTGGGTATACATACAAACAAATGATCAAAACAGAAGACTACATATAACAATGAAATCTAACTATCCATATCTTCCTGAAATTCTTCTACAATGAAATTCTTCCAATATTTTTTCTTCGACAGATTCGGTTAATGCGAATGGATTAAAATTGTGTGATACAATAATGAAGAATGAACCTGACAGTTTTTGTACGTCCTCTTTCCTGCATATTTTGCAATTCTTTTTAATATATCATCCTTCTGTTGTCGGTAGCGCTAACTGAAAGGAGCGTTTATTTCCATTTTTGAGTGGAAATTGGGGGCGTTTATAAAAAGGAAGCGCCTATTTGAGACCCGTAGAGCATTAGAGGAAATGCGGTTAGAGATTAAAAACAAAACCCAAAACTTTGACTTTGATGTGTAAATGAAAAAACAAGCGTCTGCTTGGTGGCAAAGATGATTAAGTTTTATAAGGAACACCCGGGAAAAAGACTCTGTAGATTAGAGTACTTACTTACTCTAAAAATTTTTAAAATTTTGGAAACCTAAAAAGTACTGAGTGCAGCAAATTAAACGTTGTTGAATGTGGTTCAATGAGCCTCGAAAAAACAAATTGAAATCACATGCATTGAAATTAAAGGAAATGTTACAATCTATGGGTATTGTCAGTTGCTTATTAACTGCAAAATACGAAACCATTTTTCACAGAGTTGCAAAAGGAAACGCTTCCAAAATTTCTGAGCCAGGCGGATAAGCCTTGAGGTGTCCTAATACTGAGCTTTTATAAAAAACGCAAGACAGAAGTATTGACACGAACTGATGTTGCTGAGACCGTCTCATCTAGCGACCTCCACAACGTAGGTAAGGCTCAAGCAGCCAAACCTTACTTCTGGGCTGCAATATCAAAGCCAAAATGTAATTCAAGACTGCAAATACTATTGTTACAAAAATATGCTTAAATAAATATGCACAAAAAATCCAAGTATAAAGCAACTATCAATCTATCACTTCATTTTGAGGGTTTGAAGACTGGAAACCAACCTTGCACGTGACCAGTTTTACAAAGTCGATCCCAGTGCTCCGAGTCTGAGCGAATCACAGTTTCACCTATGACTGGGTTTTTGCTTACTTTCAACAGTCTCTTTGACTTGAGTTTAATCTTCAAGCTGGCATCTGGCAGGACACTGTCTGATATTTGAAACGTGAGTTCTTCGCAGTATTCAGGCAACAGTGTTCCCTTCTTTGTTTTGGTCTTCAATTTTTGCACAAGCTCGCTGTCCTTGTTCAGTAATGACAGGGTCACATACGAATCTAGGGAAAATGAAGAGAGATTATTTATTGGAAAGTTATGTAAGAAGATGAAAATGCCCTAGATTCGACTTCATTTAGCTTTAGATTTGTAGAAGACAACACAAATGTTCACTGTGTGCATCCAACGGTGACGGAATTTTGGAAAATGCAGAAAATTACGTAACATATCATCAGTGACATTAAAGAGAGAGGAACTGACTTGGAACCAACGACCCTCCTCGAGACATATACTATATGCAACATCCTGTTTGAATGCTATTACACTCATTTTTTATAAGAAACTGACTATAAGAAACGTGTACTGGACAGTCAGAAAAAATTAAGAAACTTCAGTACTCGAAGCAAATAAACTAAGAAACTATTAAATCGTGATAAAACTGAGAACAACGAAAGTTTGTAAAATTCAAGAACATGATTGCCCTGTTGGCCTAGAACTGAAGACACAAGGGATAAAAATATACTTCCCACATCTTTATACAGCATCAGAACGGAATCGAATCTCTTGACGTGATAAAAAAGGTCACGAACATTTCATAACATCATTCATGACATCATAAACTCTTAAGAAAGAATGAGTATTGAAATTTCCAGAACATTAAGAAACTGGAGTACTCAACATCGACCTTTGTTTCTTATAAAAAATGAGTGTATTTTACAAACAAAAGTAAACAGCAACAGCGACTTCATAATGGCACATCTTAGTTCACGAGAATCAGTCTTACACAGTATTTCGACAGAACATGGCACACAAATTTAAAGGGTTTGTGCTGAATCTCGATTCAAAACGTTGGTTACTGACTATTTTAACACAAAATCCAACAGAAGAAGCACCAATTATGGGCAAAGCTCCTTCAAATGTAAGTTTTCGACAACATCAGACTTATACAATCTCTGTTACAGAGAAATGATTCAATTTCCCCTTCAAATATTTTTCAACAAAGCAAATGCAAAAAGAAGGCTTCGATTCAGTGCATTCTCTAAACACCTAGATTGCCACAATGACAATCGTGCCTTAGCATGATTCAGAACAGTCAAAAGGCTATTTGCTATGCAAACTGAGCCTTGGCTGCGAGTCAAAACATTCCGTCACAGCTGTTAAGCTTGGTTAGTATAGAGGCATTTTAAAATAAAACTGTGAAATTTCCATTAGATAATGGAAGATGTTCACCTGTCGCACCGGCTAATGTGAGGAGGTACGGCCCAGTATTGAAAAATAACCCCAGTAGGTTCAACACGACATTCTCAGCCAACAGACACGAACAACTACATAGCCATATATTTTCCAAACACTTATCTAGTAAGGAATTTACCTTCTTTTTCCTTGCTTTCATCGATTGGGATAATATCAGCTCGCACAACCTCGGCAATTAATGACCAGTCTTCAGAATCGTAATCAAGAACAAGCTGAACAGAGGCAGTTTCAACATCCTGCAGGAAAAAGAATTACAATCAAAAGTTGGCTAAAAAATAATATATCAACATTGCCTGGTGTGTGTAAATATTGGTTGGTGTCAGAGAACTATCAAAATAAGGATGTCGACACCGAGACATACAGTCCACTCCGCTCATAGTCACTCTGCTTAAAAGTCACATCACTGTATACAGTCACATAAAATTAAGACCGAAATTTGCAGAGGTATTCAGTTTAGCTCCGTTTACAGCAACACCCCGTTCACTGTCATAGATTTTCAAGCGACATTTGGTTTGACTATAACCAGAGCCTACTGTAGTTTTCACTTAGAGAGTGAGGCAAGCAGAAATTCAGGAAAACCCAGAAGCAAAATGACAGGTTTGAGGTCCAACTTGCGCGATAAACTTTATTGCTACTTCTTCAAAATTCTATTACAACTGGGAATAATTGATAAATCAGTTTCTTGGTTAATAAAATGGCAGATTTCAAAATATCGGCACAAAAACGTGGAATTTAAATTTAAGATTTCGATTTGAATTGTTGCATTGTCCCCAAGACTTATGGGTTTACAGTTGCTAGTGGCAACAGCTACACAAGTTGAGTACCGCAACAGCAAAATCCACTTTCAAAGATGTAAATAAAAGCACCAGAGAGAGGCGAAAGGTTAAAGGGAGGTTTGGAAGCCATCGATTTCAGGTATTATTGCTGTATGTAATCGATGTCAAAGAAATGAATAAGATGTATTTGTGAATAATTTGCTAATGAGTAACAAAGGCGAAACGAGAAATCCCTAAAATATGTTTCTATCGAATCGAAAGACGAAAGCAGACAACAAGCTGAGAAGAATGTGAAAAATAAGGTCATTGTCGTTATCAAAACCAAATATCTCGACGATCCAGTTCGTAAGCTCAAATTCTAAGCGTGTTATCTGAAAGGTCTCCAGGACGGTCAACTTTTAAAATAAGATAAAAAATAATTTCTTAAGTGATTTTTAAAACGTTGACAGAAGCAACGAAAATACAGGCTGAAAATCCATATCTAAAAGAGCATAATTGAAGTCCTTTAACAGTAGAGGCAAATTAAATAGAGAATATTCGATATGTTAGGAGGGGGTCAAAATGACGAGTTCACATAAAAAATCCTTCCCAAACAAGATCAATTTGATTTCTAAATCAAAACTGGGTTTCGTTCATCAATGTGCAATAAGAGTGATTAAAATTCTGCTCCTAAAGATCGAATAGGAATAGTTTATTGAATCGATATAATGAAAACATAACTTACATAATCCGCCAATGGGTCATACGGTTTCAGTTTTCTTTTGATCACGTGCTCCTTTCCAAGGAGCAGTCCTAGGCCAGACAAAGCAATACAGACTTGTCCGATGCCATCTTGCTTCGTCCATCTATTCATTTCATACAAATAAAGGTTCAAGGTCTGTCCCTCTAACTCATGACTTTCCACTTTTATTTCAATTGTGTCATTAAACGTTGGCCAGAAGCCTGCACGAACCAACTTAGTTTTGTAATCAACTTGCAGACTTTTGTGCAAATTCATGACTTTTGCAACAACGAATGAATAAGCGTAGCCACTCAAATCTCTAACTGGAATATCTTCAGCTTCCATAACCGTGACCATTAGCATTTCACTAAAAATAAATCAATGAAATAAACAAATAGCCTGATGCTAAAACACAAGTGGTAGGTTGAAAAATCCAGAGCGAAATTGGAAGAATCAGCAAATAATGACTGCAAAATTGAGAACACTGTGCAACAAGGTGATAGAAATTTGTATATGAAAAACAAGACCAGAAAAGTTTATCGCTAGTATCGTCTTTGCGTTGATTAAAGAGTCGCAGGGAAAATAGAAAAAAACTACAGAACAATAAAGTATGACTACAATAAAGTAAGAGTATACTGGTTCGTATCTTTAGCTTGAAAAATAGCCTGGTATGGTACAAAATATTAGAGGCAAGCAGACAGAAGAGGCACAAGAGGCAAAATAAAAACAAACCTGATTGTATCGTAGCGAAGTATAAACTTCAAAGAGCCAAGTTCTTCCTATAATATATTAAGATTAATTAAGCAATTTGCATTCAAAGTGTGGATATAATGCTTCAAAGAACCTAACAATTGTCATTAAATGCTAAACAAGTAAGTTTAGTTTAATACTGTTAATAAAACTGTCAACGCTGGTTGTCAAAACTGTCAACATTTAGCCAGCAATAAGATCGATCATACGCGAGCTAGCCAAAATTTTAGCAGTGATCATCACGATAAAATTACGAGAACCATATTTCTAGTTATACAAGCTGAATTTGGAATGGGATCGAAAATAGTTCACGAGGACATTTTGTATAAGCAAACACTTGTTTTCATACAAAAAAAATCATTCGATTTTAAGCAAATATCATCAACCACAATTAATGAATTTGGAATTTCTAAGCAGTCACGTTACCATAGCTTTCTTTTCGATCTTGCAAGGTTGTATTCTTTGCAGTTTTTTTCCTGGTTTAGCAGTTTTTAGTTTAACTTTTTCATGATCCTTTTTCTTCTTCTTTTTCATTTTTCTCTTGCAGATACAACAGCAGCAAATGATGAAAATGATAAAAGCTCCCACTAAGCCAGCGATGATATAATATTTGTTTTTTGCCCAGAGGCCACTCGCCTTTCCTGTTATGTTTGATATAGCTACAAAAGAAACAATAAATATTAGCACAAATTTAGAAGCATGCAAAGAAACATGGTTGAATAATCTGGAAGTGGCTATCCGCTGATGTGATGGACACGAAGATAAAGCCAGATGAGAGGCTGGTTATTTCCAAAGACTTAGAGTACGCTTTACTCATGTTTCTTACTTTTTTGGTACTTCTCTAAGGTACATGTCAGCCAGTGGATTCTGGTATGCAGACGTAGGAAGAAATACAACAAGAATTGAAGGCAAATAACCAGAGTCTATAATAAAGACAAGACAAAATAGAAATACAACAAGAACTTCACTCGTTTTCTTAAACAGTTCTAGATCCTCGCCTACAGTGGCTTAAAGTTAGTTTTTATCTAATGGCCTAACACGACAGTTTGATTTCATCCGTCCAAGCCTTGATCAAGACCACATTTCTGTGGCCTCTGGGTGTAAAGAACAAAAGGACACCAACGCACAAATAATGGCGGGTTCAAATTAATTTCTTACGAAGTCTAGTTTGCCATAATATACGAAATAGCGCTTTTAGAATATAATCTTGATTTTTCAAACAACTTTTTCAAATAATACTTACGCTTGATGCAAACAGATGAAACAAATTATCCAGCCTAACAGCTACTTAGCTACAATTTGCAAATTTGCAACAAAACACAAACTTCAACCGAAGAGTGCTTGCTCTAGATATTTAGGCCTGCTGAGCGGATATTTACAGTCAAGTTAAAAACAAGGGCTCCAAGAGAGATATTCTATTATTCAAATAGTCAAATAAAACCCAATAACAAATCATGCCAGAATCCCGAAAGATATCGCAGCTGGCCAATGAAGAAGTACGGCGAAGGGAGGGTGGGCCTTCTGAGCGCATGCATTTCAAAAGTGCAAATTGACTGGGAAAGCTCGGGAGCAGCATGGCCAACACAAGCTTTTTCGAAAATGATGAGCAAACTGGTTTAACTTCGTAAAGGTAACTTCAAGAAATGTTGTTACGTTGCATAGCGCTAAGCGCACATACATTATATGCTATATAAAGTAAGAATAATTTCAATACGTCCCGAGTTCACTTCTATCGAATTGGCTAAACACTTTACGAACTCAGTAGGTAGAAAAATGATTCGACAAAATCGAGCAAGTTTTTAGGCCTTAATAAAACTCATTGTGGCTTACAGACGTCTAAATACAATTTCAACTATGGATTAAAGATGAGATACAAGCAGAAAAGGCAAGGAGCACTTGGGTTGACTTTCACTAAGTATCTTTGCCTATTAAAGTGCTATTTAAAAGTTTTTGAATACTTCAGCCTTTTGTGCAGACTCGAGCTTTTAAATAGGATAGTCAAATTGTTTTAAACAAAAAGTCTAACATATGTTACATTAGATATAGGCCTTTTGTGTAACATATGTTTACATTTTTCATATTCTTTACCTATCCATAATCCCTAACCTAGCAACGCAATTAAAAGTTCTGAAGGTGTTTTTGCGTTTAGTTATAATCAAGACATAGACGTAGGAAGCATTTCAAAAGTACAGGTAACATATAGGCAAGGCAAAAAAGGGGCACTTATGTGACCTGCGAATTTTTAAATTACCCCCGTTTCAGGAAAAGATGGGAGCACTTGTTCCCTGTTCCCCTGGTCCGTAGGCCTATGACTTAAGATGCATATTGCTATTACTTACAAAGTAAACTAGAAATCTGACTTGAAATAAAACTTTCTTGTACAATTTCTGATGTAAAATAAACCCTTAAAACAGGTTGCACTAATTAAAAAAAACTATTAAATCAATATCTGTTGTTCTTTGCAATTTAACCTTAGAAGAAGGGAAACAAATATCCCAAGCCATGAAGCATTGGATGGAACCACAAATGTCTGTATAACAATGACTTGATTGAAATTTTGTCCCTTAGCCTTTTGCACTTTTTGTTACATGCCAATTCCTCCCTGGACATTTTTACAAATCAATGGAAGTTTTTTCAATAACATTATTTTAACAAATAAGAATAAATGATTGAAAATAGCACGGAAAAGCGAAACAAGACATACTCAAGTACTTTTCACCCAACAATCGTCACAGTAAAAACGTTGAATAATGTCCAAAGTAAGCACAGTATTATATCCGAATTTGGATTGAAAGTAACGTGAGAGGGATAAGAGCGATAAAACAAAGAACCAATCAAACCCACTTTTCTTCCTTTCATGTTACTATCAATTCACATCTGGATATAAAAGTACTCTAGTATGCCATGTTTCTGCTTTTACATGCTATTTTCGAATTTTGCAGTCCCAACGGCTCAAAAATTAATGTAAAACATTTAGCTAAATTTTAGGACACCGAATTGCTATGCTTATCAAGATATGCCTGGGTACTTGGAATAAGACTACATGTTCCGAGCATTCACGTCAACAGAAATATCATACATACCTTTGCAAACCTATTGGATTTTAAAAGTCAGAACAACAAGAATCAATTTTAAAAATTATGAAAGAAAATATAATTTACCTTATACCAAAAAATGATAGCCACAATAACAGATATATGCCAAATGTATACAGATATTAAATGAAGCCTCACTGAACTTTGGTGCCTACTTATTTATAAAGCAATAATTAATTATTGATGGGGAAAATATATTATATATAAGCATACCAGGTGTCACAGATAAAACTTAGCTATTATCCTACATTAAAAAAGCCACATAAACAGACCTCATTAATCTTCACGAGCGCGTGAGCGCACAAAATTCATCCTCAGGAATTTCTGCAGGCACATTTCTGAATCGATTTTTATTTACCTTTATTGTATTACAGTCATGTTTCTTTAAACATCTTTTTTGCCATCGAAATTGAATGGTCAAATAGAAATATAAAAGGTAGTAGTTGCAAGTCTTTATTACCAAAATGACAGAAGGTCCTTATTCTAAAGGCGCCATTTGATTCTCAAAATAAAGGTCGCTGTTTGTTTCTTTTCCTCTATCATCTCTTGGTGGAAGATATCATTAACAACTACTGAATCGCTTTTTTCTCAGAGTATTATGTTATGACTTGTAAAACTCACTCGCGCATAGTAGGCTGAAAATAGCACACTCCCTTAAGTTTAAGTCTTCAAGCTTTTGAACCTGGTAGCCATCGACTTTTGACGTATTTGATCAAAATTTCATGGTACACTTCCAAATAATCCATTAAAAACAAAATGATAAACTCAAAGCTAAGAAACAGAATCCTAATATAATGCTTCTTATAACAAGACATCTCAATGAAAGTAATTGGTAATAGAGCCTTTGATGGCTATTTTTCACATCTTTGAAATGAGAAAAGCCCAGTGTAATGTCGAATTTCTTGCAACCTTTGCCAAGGAAGCAAAAGCAAAATCCTAAAATTTAGAAACCTTGAAAGAAGATGTTGCAAACAAAACTGCTCCATTAAAAGTGAAGCTTTTAAGATATTAAAAAGAGTTTTTACTGAAGATGTCTTTATTTGATGAAATCGATAACAACGATAGGGCTTCTTGACAACCCAAAACAACTCATAGATAAAAACTGGTAGCATTTATTATGCCATCTGCTCATTTTTACATGTAGTTACATGTAGTTCATGATGATATTGATAAGGTATATGATTTTGACAAACGTAAGTTGGTGTAGCAGCACTGAGCGTAACAGGGAGGTTCTCAATTTATAGGGTGCAATTTATGACTTTAAATTGCTACCTATTTTACTTGCAGACACATTTCTACTCTGCTTTGCACTTGCAGGCACAAAATATTATTAATGAGACCTGCACATAAAACACCAGGTGAAAGCAAGCCTTACTCTAAGGTACAAGAGTCCTTACTCTCCATCTGTATCATTGGTACTCTTTAAAATTTCAGAGTTAAATTTGACTGACACCAGACATTGCTAATCTTTTAGAAATGTGGACATAATGATAAGACGGTGAAACAAGTGTAATGACATAAGTTGTGTAAATATTCAGAGTGGATTCCAGGATTCTAAGTGACTACAGTTAAACTTTTCAGTTGTTTAGGACAATGCTCATTGTATTTACAGGACATGCCTACTATCTGGAACATGGTCATTCTAATCTAAATATACAAATATTCAGAAATGAATGGAATACCCCCTTTTAAGAAGAACATCAGGGAAAAAATTGAAAAACTATGGTTACTCATACCCTATCAGTTAAGCTACCAATTTGAATCTGAGTTTGCAAAAAAATTAGCACTATTTGTGCTGTCTTGGGTGCCTTTTTCAGAGCAAATCCCCAAACAGACTATCGCTCAATTCTGGCTGGTTAGCAAAGAACGGGTCAGATCATTCTGGCTACACATCTTATCTGGTGCATTGTTCTAAGTTTTTTGAATGTCTTGGGATGATAACTTGTCAACATTTTGTGCTAATAAAACTAATAAGATAAACAGAGACAAGTGTAAAAACACTGAAAGAATTGACATCAGTGTAGAAACAGTGGCGATAAACACAGTTCTATGTCTAGAGAAATATTCCATACTGCACTTTAAGGAAAAGTTGCTTTGACTACAAATCAAACAATCTGGATCTGCCCCTGGATATTTGTGCTATGTATCATGATCACAATATTGAATATTGGTACTATGCTTTTGAGAGAAATCACTGAGCCATTGAACTAAAACATTAGATTCACCAATTGCATCCATACCTCTCAATTCTTATACCCCATTAGACATATCTATCAGTTCATATGGCGGTTTGCTAAGTTTTGGGCAAAGTAACAATTTTGGCAGATGAAATTTAATTTCCATTGAAATTTAAAGATTAAGAACATAATATGTGTACATAGAACTACAATTCCCAATTGATTAACTTAGGCTACATTCACACTGCTCCGTATTTGTTTTGCTTTGTTTTTGCTGATGAAAATGCAGTCTGTTCACACTTATCCGTTTTCAAAGGAATACGATTTTAATACAGCAAGTGTTCACACTGCTCCAACAAAAATGCTGTTGGTGGCCTCATTTTTGAAGAGAGGAGTTCATGAATCCTCAGCAAATTGACGTCATTATGAATGAAATTAAATAAAAGCAAATTGTGAAAAACTTTGTTGTTACAGCTACCAGTTCATTGTGAATTCTCAATTTCAAAATTTTTGAGATTTGGTGTGCTAGAAAGCACGTATTTTGTTGCTGTTGTTAGCATATTCAAATGTATCCGTTTTTGGTGTTCACATGTGCATCTTAAACAAAAACATTTTTCAGTATAAAATCATTTCCCTATAAATGTTGATGAAATACAAATTTTGGTTTTTTACAAGTTTAATTTGTATTTTTTGCAAAAGATTTAATCAAGAAGAATAACTATTCTTTCAAAACATCTGTTGTAAGAATTGGTGCCCACTGTTACTCAAAATGTAATGGTTATTGTTCTTGTCCTGTTGGCCAAGGGCAGACACTTGGTCAAATATTGGGGGGCCAAGCCTATTGTTTTGATAAGATGATGTCATGTTTTCCCATTGATTTAGAACAAAATATCATTGTCTGCCAAAGTAATGGGGGCAAACGCCCCCTCAAACCCTCCCCCACTGCTGTTGGCTACCTTATATATGATTGTTACCAAAATGCCCAGTAAAGAATAGGTAGCCTTCAAGGCTAGATGTTAAATTCATAGACATTGTGAGAAAAATCTAAGATTTGTAAATGAATAAGAGGATGAACTTAGATCAATAAAATAAGTAATTCAAGTTTAAAACTATTGACTACCCTTCTGTGGTTTATAAACAACAGTTGAAAAAGCATACAAATTTTAAGCAAATTGATTACCTGTGGATTTTGAGAACAGATTCTAGGCAATAACAAAATAAAAAATGATGTCAAAATCTTAAGATCAGCAACTAATTAAATTTCAATTTGCATTTTGTTCGCATTGGAAATTCTAACAACAGCCTTCGAATGAAGCTGCATAAATAGTTTTTTGTCTTTGTAATCTAAACTGTTTACATATTTTTCCTTGTTTTGCCATGATTAAAGTTTATTTAATAATTGCTCGTTGTAAAATTTCTTCCATCTCACGATTCAGCCCACATATCAGGCACCGCGGAGCAGGGGGGGCTGGGGGGCCGCTTCCTTTAAGCAAATTTTGTTTCGGCAGCTTCACGCTAAAGATATTTTATAATCTGGTCATCACACACAAGTTCCTTACCAAAATCTTACTTACCAAGGCCTAAAGTGTAATTAAATATACTGGTAAACGCGTTGAAAAACGTTTTACAGGTAGTTTGTTTAAGAAAAGCAAAGATTCTTTCTCATACTCACTGCCCATTTTCAATAACGTTCTCGACTCCTCCTTCTAATGTTGTAATTGTCTTCTTCCGCTTATTTGAAGGTGGATGAGGAGTGTAGGCCAGCTAATGTCATGACAATGAAGTGACTTTAACACATCTAAGTCATTTGTTAATTCTGCGGCATCACTTTTGAAAGCAAAGTATAGCTTACTATCAAAAACAGCACCTCTCGATGCCAAATAAGCAGCCAGAAAACCACCTCAAGATATTCAAGCCTCAGTGCTTCGAGCACCGTGCCATCGCAGAGGTCATTTAAGGAGGCTATGCTTACTCATTTTTCTCAAATTACATTGTTACCTGGCAACACTTTCAAGTTCAATGCATGCTACAATCCTTGCCAAAATTGTTGGAACACTTGCGCAAAGCTGAAGATTTTTTAAAAATCCCTACCCCCCACTACAATGCTGTTCAATTGGGCTGTTTTGATCCTGAAGGTAAAAATTTCTTCATTGAAAGCTGGATGAAGGTTTTGAGAAACTAAGTCAACATTGTAGGGGGGAGGGGGTCGACATTTTTGAAGCGGCAGAGCGGCAGTGATACTTTGGTACGGTAGTTATTTTTGGCAAGGATTGTATGTTTTTTTATCGTATGGTTTGCCCATTGTTGGATTGCCTGGGTTGCCTACAATGACTGCTTATCAGACATTTGCGACAGATTCTTTCTAACAAATCAACCCGAATATTCAAGTAGGAAAAAATACGGTAGGACAATTTTTGCAGCTCTTCAAACCTGGAACCGACCCTTTGTTCAGGTGACAGGATACTCGACAAGGAAAAAGGGCTTACTGCCAGGGCCCAGGGGTGTAGTGCTAGAGGGTCTCAGGGGAATGATCCCCTTTGTGATGTCGAAAAGAGCCAGTTCTAGTTTTGCTATTTCTATTCTAGTTTTTGTAACATTTGCGCAAAACGTCCTAGTTATTTTAATAGCACTACACTCCGACAAGTACTAAACACTTTGTATTTGTATTTATTTCTACCTAGCATCCGAAGGCAGTTTTTAGGACACTGAGAAGCAGAAGCTTATGCTTATCGAGCAGTGTCCTGGTCCTTCCTCTCGATGTGACCACATCTCGTGATTCCTACGCCTTGAATTACAGAGAGCTGGTGACTCTCCTCACTCTGGGTGAAAGTTTGGTCATGCCAGGGACTCGAACCACGAACCCTTGGGTCTGTGGTCAGCGCCTCTAATAAATGAGCCATCCTCGCACACTGACGGACCTTGTGACGGTACCAGGGTGGCCGGGAGTCATGCCCTTCATAGGGGCCTGTGTTCAGTGGCGGAAATTCAGGCTTTCATTTGGGGGGAGGGGGCCAGGCTTACGATTTTCCGACAAGATAACGTCACGGACCATGTATAATTTCAAAGAAACTGCACATTTTGATAAAAATAGTTGATTTTTTGACGGGGCTCTTTAGAAATCTTTGCTGACCACGCCATAATTAAGTAGCAAGAGGAACAATCCAGTTATGATTTTTGATATCAAGATTGATATCTCATCTAAGACAATTGATGATACAGGAGGTAGACCGATAACACTTTTGATAAGTCGTACGTTCATTTCATGCATTTTATCTTGTTTTCGTCAGTGAGAAATACGTTTGAAAATAACTTTTATTCAGAAGAATCCGATAGAAATTTTGGCTGATCTTTACGGAATTGAAATTAAATACACAATTCACAAGCAGTTTTGATTTTGGTCATATATTGTTTGATTGATTATTTGGTAATGGCTAATATTTTATCAGCTATGCTATGTTCAAATTTTGCAAAAAGGGCACAGAGAGGTTATAAAGGCCCCTGGGGTAAAAAAGGAAACGTGGATCACCTGCGAGAGAAGCGAGCAGAAAATCTGGCAATTACGCCCCTTAGATTACGCCCCTTAAAATTCCTTTTCAGAACGATTTCTTGGAGTAATTTCGACACATTAAACGGTTGTCAATTATCCGACGAAAGCCCGAATTTTCTGACGACGTCGCTGATTGGGGTTCCGCCACTGCCTGTGTTGATCGAGCTCACGCCTTTCTAAAGGCAATGGCGAAATCTTAGCATAAATGGCAACTCCTCGCTTTAAAAACTGAGCGTTTTTGGAAAAGGAGGTTCACATCCCATAAACCTGTAGCTATAGCCCTGATGATCAGACAACTCATGCCCTCGTGCAATTGCAAAGGTTTAGTAGGTTCAAAATAAGGACTTTCCCACCTTTTCAAAGAGTTTGAAAAGCTTGACAATAACAATTTCTTGGGAGCTGCCGATTGCAAATACTCAAGCCTCGCCATTGCGAAGATCCCCTACAAATTCAAAGCCGATTTTTATCGGTGAATTTAGAATTTTATGTTTTTGATTTGACAATTCCATGTTTAAAAGCTGATCAAACAAACTGAAATTATAAACAAGCGTGTTTGAAAATCAATTCAAAAACGAAAAAACACCAGTAACTCCTCCCATTCAACAACCTTTTCCTTCGCCAAACAGCGATTCCCACAATAGGGATTAAAAGGGGTTCGAGAAAGACAGTTCTTTGAAATCAATGCCCTTTCGGTGAAGTGACTGGTGCACGAACATTTTCAGATTTTCCAATTACATTTTCATAACATTCGGCGAGATGAACAAGGAAATTGCTTACCTGAAGTGCAATAATTTCTTCACTGTTTGACGGACCAGGACTGGGTAAATGCCCAACCTTCTTCAGGAAAGGTGCAAACTTTAAGCTTCGTTGATTAACACTGTATAAAGACATGGTTGGCTTTGGTACTTGGCTTTCTTTTGTCCAGCGACATTCCTATTGGTCTCCTGCAGAGAGCCGCCACTTTATCTAAGAATCCCGACGGGAATTTATCAGAGTATCGCAGATAATCTTAGAACTTTAGCATAACGCGAAGGAGAGATAGCTGCCCTTAGTGACACCATTAGAGGTAGATATGAAAAGCCCCCTAAGAAATTATAAAAACTGCACTTGAAAATAGTACAAAACGATCTTTTGTTAGGTCTTTTGCATGCTTGGCTCCAAAAATCTGTATTATGCTCCGCGGTCGTTAGGTAGTTAGGATAGAGGAGCAGTGCTTTTCGGTTTACTCTGATAAAAGACCTCAGCAATGTTCTGTTTAGCCTGTAGTCAGTTGTAAGTTTTTGACATTTTGTTTATGATAGTTGTTTGGCTTCGATCTCCTCAAACTCAAATATCTTTTTGAAGCTGAAACTGTTGTATGAAACATAATGGTACTGTTGTATATTCAAAACCTCCGTTTTTCGTTGATTTGGGTTTACTTTATCTAACATTATCCATATTTTTTCCTTCAGCACTCCAGCCAAATCAACACTTTTATTAAAGACGATGGGTAATTCGTAAGTGCTGGAATATTTTCAAGTTGAAATGTATTTTCAAATCGCTGATGAAAATGTTGAAGAGAAGTGAACCAAGACATGAACCTTGGTGGAGGCCAAGCTTTACTTCTGTAAATTCTAGTGGAAATGCAATTTCTCATCGCATTACTTCTAACTGGATTTTGGGTTTAATAATATCGAATGATTTCTCGGTTATGAATATATTTCTGATTAATTTTCTGTTGTTAGTTTCTTCTGTTGACAACTGCACTCCTACCAAACCAGGACCCACTCCAACTCTCCTCTCAAGCATTCAATTTTTAGTACAGCATTAAGGTGCTAGATTTGAACAGAGCATGCTTCTTGGCTGCGAGTATCAAACGGCGATTGAATATGAACACTTACTGATTGGGGGTTTTCAGTTCACCTCAACATTGGTGTTGAAACAATATAGATATCCATTCTATAATTTTCGAAGAAAGATTCGTCCCATATTAAAGTTGAAATACAATTTGAGGCTACTCCGGGTTTGACTTATTTAATTTAACACAAATCTAGTAGAATTCAGTTAACTTATCCAAATCAACCACGATTCACTTGTCGATTAAGTAATTCATCAAGGCTCTACCACTCTTCATATCACCAAAAATGAGATCGATTGGAGTGGAAGGGCTTCAAAAATCGTTAAAATCACTGAAAAAAAATTTCTTTCAAATTTAGACTTATCGTTATCAAGGTGCTTAGTCTGTTCAAGCTTGATAAATGTAATTCAATTAACTTGAAGCATTGATTTTCAGGGAAATGAACATACAAACAATATGGTTATAGTCAATTGTAACAGGCAAGTATCGTTCAAAACGTTATTCCATTGATCTAAACAAGCTGCAGAACAGAAAGGTCGATCAAGGGAAAAACTGTCAGTGACGAGGAGATTAATAACAATAAAAAGGTAATGATGGGGAATTTAAGTTTAATTTCTTTAGGTCAAGAAAATACAAAACTACACTCAACATGATACATACTCCACTAGGGAATTTCTATAAAAATAAGCAAAATCCTGTATCAATGAAAATACAATAGAAATATCTTAGAAGTCAAAAGGATCACTAAGGCAACTTTTCTGTTGGTGACTCGAGTATCTTCCAATTTAATCATAAGATACAAAGAAATCTTATACAGTGTGACGACATAATTTTTTGGAATCCATTATGTGCACGTGATTGGAAATAAAGGATCTCTGGGGAAAATCTGAATTACAATAAGCACGGAATAAGGAATCTCTTTGTGATACCGTGATATGAAATATATAACTCTTTATGACTATTTTGATCTAGTGAATAAGGATCTTATGGCCACCGGTCTAAGTAAGAGTATCCCGTGCAGCTGCCGATCGTGCAGAGTATCCAGACGAACTATCTCTATAAACATAGAGTCAAACCTCTACTAAAGAGACTTGGAACATAAAGCCAGGGAACATAAAACAATTGTAGCAAATTTTTCAACCAGCTTTCACCGCCACAAAAAAACTTAATTTGACAAGAAATAAATCTTTGTTGCCAGTGCAATCTAAAGTCACGCATTCCTAATTTGATCAAGAAAGCTAAGCCTGATAGGTTTGAGATCTTGGAAAATTAATGCCAATGTCATCAAATAGTCTGGTAACGTAACCAAATATTTTCTATAATATCCAACGATAATTTGGGATTCGTAAATAAAAAGTATCCACATATTGACGACCAATATCATACATTAATATATAACATTAATAAACAACTCACATGCTTAATAAAAACACAATTATAAAGTTATCCTGTTTTGCAATTCTAGGCATTACACTAAGGCATTTCGTCATACGTGGAGGATTAAAGGTTTATCACAGTCTGTTTTATCTTTTGGTTATCGATACGGTATTAGTGAATGATTTAGTTCTTTTCTTCAAGTGCGTTTTCTCTTACTCCAAACTAAAAATATGTCACTTGCTCATTTGCTTATCAACGTGATCATGTGATTACTTTCTACCGTGACTCTATTCATAATCATAGTCAAGTAGGACTTTGCGGCGGACTTTCGTCTTTAATCATTTTAAGGCTCTGTCGTAACACTTGGCTCTTCCGTCGTGCATTTCTCACAATTTCGTTGATATAAGCTTTCATAAGCTTGGCTACCTCTATGACCTATAAAGAAAAAATGCCACTACATTAGTTGCATGAAAACTTTAATGGGAAATGCAGATAGATTTATAATAATATGTGCATAATAGTTAAAATTCATGGAATCACGATTTCAAAGACAACAAATTATTATTTAGATGCATACGAATGATAAATCTCTGAAAATGGCAAAGTCCGGCAAAGTTGGGTGCGTTAGCGGGGAGCTGCAGCCAGAGCCGCAGAGAGGATTTATGGGCCCCGGGTTGGGTTGAAAGATGAATAGTAAAGCACGCCCAAGGCAGATCCCCCTAGGGGAATGCTCCCCTAGAATTTTAAAAAGGATTGTGGCTAAACTGCTTTGGTGGCTATTACTTCTGTTTGCTATTTTATATAATTTGATCATAATTGAAATCTTACCATCAAAATGCATAAAAATGAAAATTTCTTAGAAATCCTTAAAGTCTTAGAAAACGGAAAACGTATAATTTGTTAACAAAACTCGACATGTTGTTGTAAATAGATTCGCTTGCCATTATGTAAATTTGAATGACGTACAATACCAGCAAAAAGTTTTGGCAAATTCAGCCATTCCTTATCCCCTCTTAATCAACATTGGTTTACTACAAAAAGGTATAGGGGATTAGAAAGTACGCCTTTTCTGCTAATTCTATAATATTTTTCCAAATTATAAACATTGTTTAGGGGAAAGGGGGTGCGGAGATAGGAATGTTCGCGCTGCCTTATGGTTGCTTTAAGCTTGAAAAACTGAAGAGTTTCCATTTGAAACCGTTATACGTTCTACCTTCCAAAGCGAACACAGCTCTGTCGAAATGGCACCGAAAAATACACTACATCAACCAATAACAAGTAATTTTCATGAGTTGTGAATCTATCGCTAAACCATAATTCTACATTGTTTTAATACATAGTTCTTAATCATTGCCAATTTATAGTCTCACAAGCAATGGTATCCATTTGATATTAAATAGCAAGACAACGTTTTCAACTTTCAACGCAACACCCTATATTAAGTAACATACAAAAGCAATATTGGAAAAAGAGAAAAAGTTAGTGTAAATGCACCCACCGCCTCTGTTTCAAATACAATGGGGTCTCTGCCTTCCACAACGATTTTGTATCTATTCGGCTGGGGTGCTCCAAAAGATAATATGCTAAAAAATGATAACATGATAATATGAACAAAATTGAAAGTAGCAATAACGCAGAAATGGTATGTTTTAATAATTGCATGAAGAATTTAAAACATTTGGCCCACGAAAAGAATAACAATCACAATAGGCCCCAGGTATCATCAGAACAAATGTTGTTTAAGACATTGGGGTTGGAGGGAGAATGCAAACATTAGCAAGGTTGACAAAATTTATTCATACAGTAACAAAACAATAAACAACATCATAAATATGACCCAACTGGTTTTAGTGTCAAAAAAATCGGAATTCAAAGAGTTTAGTCTAGTTTAGGCTTCGAAGGGGTTACCGAGGTCACTGAAGATATAAACAAAGGCAAACTCACTCTTCGTAACTGTATGACGTCATTGGTCTTGAATCACCTCTCTGGTAAATGGAAACATTTCTAAACCCAACAGAGAGCCATAGCTCAGGCGGCAATGTTGGATCTCGTGTCTAAAAACAAAGCGTTATGCAATCAGATGGTTTAAGATTCCGACTCTACATGAAGCACATACACTACTTGCGCCTTAAGGACAGAAAAACACGTTTCCTGTTAAGCTAGCGGAAAAGGAAAAAGCCAAGTGATGTAGCGTATGTCGATAAATCTTGATTGGGAAGGTAGCTGCAACAAAGAACAGTGTTGTGGAATTGAGTATGGGCTGTGTTAAAGGTGAAAGAGAAAGCGTAGACCATTACTGGAATGAACCATGAACATTTGTGAGACTGTTGTAAGAAAATTTTCCAGTAGACGCAGCACATGATGCCGAACAAATAGGCTTAATACAAAACAGAGAATTGAATGCAATGCAAAAATATGTGGCGTACTTACAGTTACATCAAACATCGTGGCACCAAAACCTGCCCAACCTTTGACTATCTGCATGTATTCCTCTTGCGCCTCCTCAGAGCTGAAACCCTGAAAACAGACATACATTTCACTATTGATAAAAGGGGTTGCGAAAATAAACACGTTTTTGTTTGACATGACTTGCAAGAAAATTTATGGCTCCTTCAAATTATCTCAAATTATCTTTGCTACTGCAAGGGAAAATATAGTAAAATTTAAGGGACACAAAAGTAAATATCCAAATCTGTTTTGGAGTGGTGGAGCATGATGATCATATCTCTTTGAATGAGTATCACAAAAATCTATTTTAAAAGTTTGCAAATGAATTACATTTAAGAGCTTGAAGATCTAAAAACATTTTCCAAAGCGTTTGCAATCGATCCAAAGAGATTTAAAATTGATTTTGAACTTGATATGAGAAGAAAAATCTTTATTCATTACAAAGCTGCACGCATTTATTACAAAGCTGCACGCAATTATCAACTATACCATTCACATCTAATCAGACTTTGAAGTTAGTCTTACGGTAAGTTTTTTCCAGTTATCAACAATTGAGCCTTTGATGGCAGATAATTCTTCCTCTACATTCACTTTCGGTTCTTCGTTTTCATTTTGATCGGTGTCATCTAGGAAAAAGCAATTCACATCATTGTAAGATTACGTGACATATAAGACTGAAAATGTGGGCCTAGTTAAGTAATTTTGGAAGCCAGATATCTAGAATAATGATGTAAAGGGTCCTAGAACACAGAGGCCTACTGGAGCAAACCCAAGCTTCCCTTGAAAGTGCTAAACTATTTCAATTTTCTTTTGCCAAGACTCTTTAGGTTCGCTGATATTCAGTTAATGATGCAAGAATATTCTCTTGACGTGTTGAAGTCCTTTCAGCATCGCTGATGTAATTCCTTCTTTACTTCCAATAACTTCAAAATGATAAGTTCAGTCAAAACGACTTACTTGAAAAGAGTGGAGACATGACTTTTCTGATTGAGCCCTTAAACAGAAAAAAATCATCAAGTACTAGTTGCAAAGAAAGAAACAAAAACGTTTAGTATAACATGTGTGTCATGTGTGATTACCGTAAATGAGCAGGTTATCATTTTAGCTAAGAGAGAAAAACAAGGTTAAAAGCATGTCGATAAGTTATACTATCGCAAAAACTGAAAGCCACGTATAAAGAGATATCACCCGTCAACTTCTTGTTATGACGTTAAGATATAGCCCACATAAAAATGTTTTGAGGAGAGGAATTCATTGAACAAAAGAAAGCAATCAGACTAGAGTGAATAGAACTTAAGGAGAGAAAGTTGCCCTGCATGGAAATCGATTGGTATTAAATGGTGACAATGGCAACGCAAAAGGGGTGTTTCGTAGAGCGGTTTACAAAGGCTGGCTGGTAGATTTGTGCGAATGTTCTAAATATTTTGATCAGTAATCTTTTGATGTACTTTGGAGCTGTGAAATTCTTTATCGATCTAAATGGGTTCATTCAAAAACCCAAAAAAAGAAGAGGGCATCTTTCGTTGTCGCGAAAAAGACCTTTCCCAAGAAAAATATTCCATGTTTCAACGCTTGATCAAAGAATAAAACTGACAACAAAAAATAATATGTTAAAACTTCTTCAGCTTACCTTGAAAGAACCCATTGGCTTTTGCTGTTTAAGAAGTGCTTTTGCTGGTAAGATAGGCTTTGCAATTTTCCCAACAGGGTATACACCAGCTATATCTTTGTCATCTCTAAAATTACCAAACCAAATAAAGAGCTTCAAATAAAAGTAACCAAAGAATGCTTAACAACCAAAATCTTAAAAGAATCATATGCATGAAAATGAACATGGCATTTTACTCTACTGGACCTCTAATGACTACTTCTGCAAGAAATGTCCCATGACGAAACGCTTGTGTAGTGAGAGAGACCTGAACACACCTTCAAAAGGCATCTAAAAACCTGACCGATATAACCCACGTGTGTTCATCCAAAAGGAAAAGAACCTCCGTAATATCTTACTTGGCTTGGCCCAGGCATCGCCGGGGGTATAAAATAGTACAAATATAATAGGCGAGCTGGAAACAAGCTAGGAGTAACGTGGCTTGTGCGCTAAGCTTTTTTTGGGCGCTTAAAGCAACAGCTGCTTCACGATATAGGACTGCCCTTTTTGGAATTTTCCTTTTTGCTGTCCATATCAATCAGTGGATGGATTCTGAGATAATTTCCTAGAATTTAAGTATTTCCTTAGCTGTTGCTCAATTACTCTCAACTCATCCCTACAAAAAACAACGAAGAACATATCCTATACAGCTAACAAGCTCTTTTATAAACTGCAATTTAATCTTTACCTTCCTCTTCACTTCTCGCACACAAAAAGTAATATATACTTAAGTACATTCTGGATAGAATGTTAAGACAAAATCAACGACAAGACACACAAAGCTAGAAAAAACAACAATAGAACAAACAGATTTTAACCGTCGAATGTTTACTGTTACAAAGTAGAGCAATGTCACTTACATCCATTGACCAATTTGGTAGTCACCATTGGTCCACTGCAGTCGCAGAGCTGCCAGTTTGCAAAGCGTTGTTTCTGGTAACGGGTATTTGCCACGAACCAAGTTTTCATTGGTCTGTTACAAAACAAAGCAATCAGCATCAGTATAATCACTGAAATCGTACAGTATTTGCATTACAAAAACAACACTCTACCTCACACTATGCGCAAACACAGGTATTGAACTCTCGAGAAAAGAAAGCCCAGACTCTTCGAAAAGTCTTTGACTAAATTAAGTAGTAAGGAAATTCCATCTAGCATTTTTGGAATCGATCTACATACAAACGAAAAAGCCTCCATTGTGTAGACAAAAGGAGTTCGTTTTCTCTCTTGGACTCCAGTGCTAATTTTTCTTTAGACACGCAGCACTGATTGGTCAACTATACCGGCCTTGGGCTTGCGTTTTTCTGATTGGCCTATTTCGATCCACAACTGGGTATAAATTTTTCATCGTGTTCTTTCGGACCCTTATTCTGACGTTTTAGGCTCTGAGGAGTGTCAGACGAAAAAGCTTTTAGCCAACATGTTGTAAAATGTTTGCTTTCTTCAAAGCCATTTTCAAGTTATGTACCGCCAAACAGCTGCTCACATTTTAGTAAGGAAAATATAAAATTGGCTAGAATAATTAAAATGGGATTATCGAGTCCTATCTATTCCCATTCAAAATACATTTTTAATACTTCCTTCCAATTTCGATTACTGTTTAGTTATACTGCTGCGTAGTTAGTTCCGCACCTTGCGAGTAACTATTTCTACCACTTTCTTGTTGTGCCCCACATCCCAGCTTTGAATTCGAACGGAGAAAGATTTCATCGAAAAACTTTTTGCCAAATAATGGGATGACCATCCCTAGAAACTTACTGTTTACAAAAATCGCGTGATCAAGATAAAGTTATATAATATAGTCGGTATAAACCAAAGATTAATAACCCAACCTGTTCAAAAAGGAAAGACCCTTCAACTGAATCCTCTGCTACTTTATCCGGATGCAGAAAGCAGAAAATCTTGAAAAACAGCCTCCATTTGTTTTTTCCTTCTTTGATACCAAGAGATCGATATCTACAAATATATAAACGATTTGTTATTGTACAATTGCAAAAAACAAAATCTGATGATCTTTTTGCAAACATGCTACCTTTACAGTTTCGCAAGGTTTTGATTGCTGTGCAGAAGTGTCAAGGATTTCTTCCATTCAGTTTAGGTATCTGTTATATTTAAACTTGGTATAAAGTATATCAGTGGCAGCATAGCGGTCAAATCTTTGATTGGCTGAGAGCTCTGTTCGCTACCATGTTCTAAGCCAATTAGCACACAGGATTCTCACAACTAAATCGCTTCTAGAATCGCAGCTAGAATTAGGCCCATGATTTGATTGCGCGTGGCATTAGTTTTTCTTCCGATGCAGTAGCATATTCATGTTTAACACAAAATCTCGACATGAAGAGTTACCACTCGAATCAAATTCGAAAATGCTCGCTGCAACGCTAAAATATACCCAGGCCTCTAAACGTCTTGAATAAATTGGTGATGCAAACAACATATTTCCTCTCTCCTCTCCTCTCTCTAGAAATAGTTTCTATTTCTTCTTTTCGTTCATTTTGCATCTTTAAATTGTAGTTGATTTAGTTTTATATGTTGACTGTAAATTACCACAGGGTTGCTATTTATTCCCATGCTCCCTGTGGTATCGTCTGGTAAAATTATGTATGTTTTGTACAAATTTTTTGTTAATAAAAAAATCTCGAAAAACATTTTAGCAAATCTAAAGTTGTTAATATTTGTAATATGTTTGCAAATATGTTGTTACCATATTTGCACAACTATGAGAAATATATGTCAAAATAGACAAAATAGGTTCGGACAAAATGCGGGAGAACAATATTGTCATACGATAGAACACTGATATCTCCTAAGTCAGAACGTGACCTGCACTGACATCAATGGGCTTGTTCATAAACTTCGCAGTAGATAAGCTTTTGAAAATCATTTTTCACAAACGATACAGTAACAAATAACATAGGATAGCTTGGCAGGTAATATGACAGTATGATTAACAGGTAAGATTTATGAGAAAACCAAACAAGATTTCTACCATTGTTTAAAAAACAAATGATAAACTCCTACTCACTTGATGCACCATTAAAACCAAAACGAATCCACGACTAACCTTTCAAACTTTGCTAGGACGTCTGCTAAAATACAGCGATCTTCGATATTTTTCTCGATGGTACCACACTGCTCGAACAAGGCAAACACGCAGTGCTCGTTCGACACCCCAAGTCCTTTACAGAGCCTTTTAACAACCTACAAGCAACAGCAACATTAAAAGAAGTTTACCGATACAGTAAGCAAAAGGGCTGTTTCGGCGCATAAAAATGACAATCTCAAGTTTTATAAAGTTTCATTTCTGCTTTATAAACTATTTCAAAAGCTAATAAGAATGACTGTATCAAGCCGATTCTAGTAGAATCAAATATCATCTTCCAGATGTGTATAGCACATAGCAACACCTGAGAAAGGGACACTGTTGAAAACCTGTGAACACTGACAAAGGGATAAAGTCTTATAGGCCCGAAAAAATCTTCAAAGACAAGAAAGATACGAAATTCATCATGATTGATAAAGGTTACGCCATCAGAAAAGATGTGTTTGTGTTTCTAAAATGTGTTTCAGAAAAAAGGATTGTTAAGCTGTTCAAGTACAAAGTTCTTGAAACAAATCTATTAAAAATGTGCGGAATGAGAACATTGTAAAATTTCGGGAACGACATGTAAAATTTCGGGTGTCATAAAAACTAAAATGTCACAGAAAAATGCTCTCTTTAGAAGTGCCAAAATACTAGAAAACGCCCTACCTATCAAATGCTTGCTTCTATTGCCTTAAAGGCAATCGACAGATATATAAATGGCTTAAGCCAATCAACTATTGGCCAATCAATGAACGTGAGGCTGGCATTACGCTTGTTGATTGGCCAATCGTTGATTGACAGATGGCTTGAATCACTTTAGTATTGTACGACTGCCTTGAATGTCATGTGCTCATCTCGGCATATTGCAAGGGCAGTACATAAAACGTAGAAATGCATACACGAAACAACAGAGGAAGTTCCCTTTCACCGTAGAGTGTTTTTCGCAAGGGTCTCCTGGACACATTTCAAGATGTTAACTGTGTTCCATAAGAGTTTTGTTAAAACTTGTTCATTCGTACAGAGAACAATAAAATAGAATAGACTTACACCTAGAGCTTGAAGTTAGATGGAATATACAGCGGGATGCAAGGGAAGCACTTACCTCTCCAGCTGTGGTTGCAGAATTGACCGTTATCTTACAACTGCCTCCACCGTAACAGTGCACAGTAGCAGACAGCTCACGACGGCCCTGAAAATCGAGGAAGGAAACATGGTTGACTGAGAAAGGCTAGTGGTATGTATGTAATCAGTATTCTTGCAACACTTGCCAATTCTTTTCATACGAGAGATGTATGCAAGATCACTATGAGGGTGTGAGGTGGGATGGGGTGGAGTTGGGTTGGGGTAGGGTTGGGTTTGGGTGGGGGTAACGGTAAAAGTCTCAAATTTGAAACAGCACTTTCACAGCGTCTATGGATCCTACTCAGAAGTTTACTAGATGTTCAACGAATTCTTCGTCATTCTACTCAGTATTCATTATGATACCTGTAGCGAAATTTAAAGTTAGATTCGCAGCGTTATGCTCATTCTCAGCGGAAATTTACGTAGGATGTGGTTTTTTTGTTATTATGATGTTATTATGAGAGCAGTAAATGGTACTGGATTCGCATATGTTAGGCTGTTGGAGGTAAACTTTGGACAAGAGGCCAATATTCCCGTTGTAACTAATACTACTGTTCTTTGCACTTGTCTAATGCTATTTAAAATAATTATAAATCAAGGCTGGATTTTAAAATATTTCCCCAGTGCAGTAATCCTGATGCACCCAGAAATTTTCTCTTCTTCTGCGCGAAACATCCCTCCCCCTTTAAAACCCTCTTGGACTGGCAGTCTTGACTCCACTTGTCAGAGACTTACAGCCCCAAAGCTGAAGTAACTGTCAGTCGCCTTGACTGGATGAGAGAAAAGTAATTCCTTGAAGACACGACAATATATAAGCAAGTATGCTTCTATTACATGAATATAGAGTTAAAAGTTGATCTGACTATAAACTGTTTAATAAAATTAAAGAAATCTCAAAGGTATTTACAAAGTCTTCTAGTTGAATACTTTTAATAAAATTACGAGTAAAAGCAGTAAAAATTTCTCACCAGTAAAGTAATGATTTCTTCACGCGACGGAGGGAATTCTCTGAAATTTTTCAAAAATAAATTACATATGAACATTGATACCAAACAATAATCATTGATACAGCTAACATTGTATAATTTAGTGTTCAAGCAGCTGAACAAATTTTGAAAAAATAATTGAACTGTACTCTGTGTGTAGTAAGGCATCGTACAAGATTACATGGTATTGCATTGCAGTGGACTATATTGTGTTGTATTGTATTGTACTGATTGTATTTAATTGCATTGTATTGCATAGTATTTTTCTAAATCATTATACTGCATTGTGCGGTATTTTCTGATTATTGCCATAAACATATTTCCTATGAATCAAACTCCCATTCTTGTAAAAGATTTCTGCTTCAAAGACGTTATTTTGCTTATTGAAATGTTTAGCACTGTTCATCCACCTTACTGTAAAGAAAACATTTCATAAATTTAAATGATTTGCTTTTCATACACCGAATACTACAACCTTGAAAGTTCTTTGTTTCTTTAAACTGTTTTCTGATCCCGTATTTCGATCAAGAATGTCCCTTACCGTATAAGTAGTAATACAAATCGAAGAAAATGCATGACGAAAGTGTGTTGGATATGAAAGGGTGCCAGAAACGAAACAAATGTGCATGATCATCCTTACCTACTTCTGGTTCTTTTCAAGCTATCAAGAGCAAAAACTGCAAACTTCGTAAACTCAGAATCCGGGAACTTTTCTCGACAACTATTGGAAAAAAGAGAACATTATCTAAGGGTACAACTTGGGTATCTAGATTGACCACTATGCATTTAAGTATGAATTTCATTTGCAAGGGTCTATCGGATATAGGCGTTCAAGTACTTAATGGGAAGCTGACTAGAATGTGAGAGGTGCGACCAATAAAAGTTTGGACGAGGGGATAAAGATTGGGGTAAAAGGGAGGTGGCAAAAGTTACTTAAAAAAGACGCGAGCATTACAATAAACTTAGTTTGAAAGATGATATTTGCAATATCTAGCTATATATAAAGATGGTATAACGTATAGCCATAGAAAAACACCCATAGCGATGTTTACACGTATGATTCGGAAATAGGGATGGTGTCCCTTTAAAAACACTGTAGAGGTGGTTCTGAGGGCCCATCTCTACTATTAGCCCCTTAGTTTTATCTATGACCATGGCAACAAACCAAAACTCAGATTTTGGGATAGTTGGAGGGTCATGGTAGCCAACCTTCTGATAGAAGATGGTACCTGATTCTGCAAGAAAGAGGCCACTCACCGTTTCAGATGGAACCTTAGGTATCTCAAATACTTTCTTGATGGCAGGAACGTGCAGCACATGCAGACGAGGACTTGCACATATCGCAGACTGCTAACCGAGTCAGGATCCTCAATTCCCGTAGTTTGCTTGATAAGGTGACAGTATATCTGAGAGACAAAATCCTTATAATCAGGACACAGACGAGAAAAATACCGAAATCTAGCAATGAAAAATACAGCTCAAAAACTTGGTCAAACAAATTTCTTGCACAAACCAAACCTTTAATCAACAAAAAGGTGTTATTCTACTTAACTACGCTACAGCTTAACTTTAACTAAAGGAAAAAAGCAAAATTTTGGAATCGGTATTCATTTGAGCAAAAACGGTACTACAACAGTTAAAATTCACACATCCTGACCATAAAACAATCAAAGTTATCAAACAATAAAAAATCGCCAAAAAACCATAAAAAACTCTAATAAAATCCAGCAACTTTATACTTTTGCAACTATGGACACAGCGCTACCAGAGAGCAGGCAAGCACGCAAAGATCAACATCTAAACCCCCCTTTCCCCAATTCAATGTGGGAACAAAAGTAAACTAAAAGTACGGATATCAACATTAAACTAGGATGGGAGAAGGGGCGGGAAATCTCAACACGGTCTGCCTAGGATTGTAGTCATAAGAAAAACGTGAAAAAGGAGAGCAAATTACTTTACCTCGTCTCTGAGAGCTTTCATGTCATGGCAGGTTTGTAAAATCCCCTGAAATAAAAATGATAGGAATTAAAATCAAATATTCATTCCTTAAATATAACTGAAATTTGAAGCTGACGATCTGACCAAAAACAAAGGGGACGAGGCTGAACAACCTAAAACTACTAATGCACTAATACGAGCTTTAAGTGATAGTATTTCCGAGCTGCTACTAGTTAACTTTCTAAATCGGTAGCAGGCAAAACTTGTTGCATTCGATTTTACTTCCAATTACGAACTACTCTAAATAGAAACAATAATTCATATTTATTGCCCAATCTGCGTCTCTGCGATTTGTTGTGACCCTCAGGTTAACCAGGTGACAAGAATAATGGAGGTTATTGTTCGCATAGGTCCGAATAATTTTAACATTCCAGGATTGAATCAAACAATGCAACGTAAAAGACCGTTAATGGGAAAGTGGTAGGGAACAGTATGTAACATTTCGTAGCAGCACGTGATATAGCGTGACAAACGATGTAAATGATTTAACCAGAAAAGACTGGGTTCGAACACCTCAAGAATCTACCTACTTGTGTAACAGCAATAGGATCTGCCACATTTTCCAGCTCTTGCAATGACGTAAAGATTCGAACGGCTTCCTCGTAGTAGGTTCCATAATTTTTGCCCTTGGCTCCTAGCGGTAACACAAGTAATTAGCTTGTAACCATCAGGTTGAGAAAGTAACGCATCATTTACGTTATTCATGTAGAGCAAGCATCAATGGTAACGTAATGCTCTCAATTATGACGTCATCAGTTTAGAATTTACTTATTCTTAAAAAGAACTGCCCGGGTAAATGATCTCAAATTGTCAAAATTGGATATCAAAAAATTGGTTCAAGGGCCTTGATACACAAATAAACATGCCTTTGAGATTTATTATAACCCCGAATTCTTTCAACGTTCTCCTACCGCTTTTTTTACGCTAAAAAAACTGCATCACTGGGAATGCAAAGACACAAGGCAGATGATATTCAGAATGAAGTATGTAGGCGATAAGACAGCAACGTACTTTGAGATTGACAATGGCCATACGGTAAAGGCAACAGCGGCATCTTCAAGGGAAGCTTTGTATAGCTCAGGATTGGATTCACTCTGTAAATTCTTTCCAGTAACGTGTCACTGTTTGCATTCTGTAGGTTTCAAAATCTCACATTACTACTTCAAAATACAAATAAACTAAAGATGGCCTCTTATGTATCTAAAAACATGCAGCCCAGCAAAGATTTTGCTAGGCTCATATTACTTCTATTAGAGATTTCCTACCACATTCTAAAGACATTCCATCCCTGCCTAATATTCAGTCAATGTTACAAAGACATATCTTTTACCAATTATCCATTAAAAGGCCTAAGAAGGAACATTTATGTCTGAAAGGATGGCAAAAGATTTGAAAGTCACGCACCAAAAGATCACTGATCAATTTGCCAAATGGTGTCTCCTTAGAAGGTTTGTTGTCAATCACCTACATCAAATAGGAAAATGTCATTAAATTAAAGCCTAGATAATAATAGAAAATAAAGAATTAATTGATTCAGCTAAGTCCGGCAGGAGTTGGAGGTCTCAAAAAAATACAGCAATTTAACAACAATTTCCACAAAGCCAAATTAACTCTGACTATTTGGTGCATATAATGTCACAATAAAACAAAAAAACCATTATTTGTGCAAAATGTGCAAACATGCCATCGGACTTTGCTTCTAATTCGACATTGCGGCTTATGGTTGGACATAAGCATGTTTGATGTTTTTTTCAATTACTCTCCCCTTAAATAACACTTTTAATTAGAATACAGAATTTACTTTTTGGTCCTTTCTTTGCTTCTGTATTGGTTTTGATTTTACAATCGATATGAAAGAAACTTCTACATAAATAATAGTCTTTAAATCCTCCAACAATCAAACAGAAGGCAAGAGCAAATATTCTATTTTATGATCAACACGTAACAAAAATGCTCTCTACATATTTGATATCTAAAAAGAATTGGTTGTCAAAGTTTTTATGAGCATGGACCGAACTTCTCAATATTGTGGAAATGGAATCACCATCGTCTACAAACAAGGATACAGTCACAAATCAAGCTATGAAATGTTTGCCTAACTACTGTTGCCAAGGAACTGTTTGCCTAACGCGTATTGTCCATTGCAATCCAGCAGAAGGCGACCTTAAGCAACAAAACACTATGCAGTTTTTGAGTATCAAATTTTACCTCTTGGATGGCTGAAACCCATCTGATTGCATCGGCATGTGATCCTGCTGTCAAATTATAAGATCGTTTTCTTCCATTCACAACGAAGTCCCATTGCCCTAGGAAAGACATAAAACAATTAACAGGGGTAAAATTCCAGCGGGTTTAATTGGCCAGAAAGTTTAGACTAAGGGTCTAAGGTTCGAGCCCCTCACATGACCAAATTGTCATTTAGAGAGAAGCAAGTCCCCAGCCCTTTGTAATTTCAGGCGTAGGAATCATGAGGTGTAGTCACATCGAGAGAAATGACCAGGATCTTGCTTGAAAAGCATAGCTTCTCGGTGTCCTTTAAATTGCCTTAAAAACTTTAGATCTCGTAACAATTAGTAAAGGCAATATGAAAAGCAATGGAAACATCATAAATTAAGTCTGTAGTCCTAAAACCTACCGGCTTCTCGCGCTTTTGGATCGTCCGGCATAGGCGGGAGAACGACAGTGCATAAGCTGAAATAAACAGAGAGTAATCAATTGTGGAGTTCAAAGACGGGAAACAAAACCAATAAAGCATGAAGCTCTGTGAATGCAACATATTATGTGCATGAAGCTCTTGACAAAATCATATCTACGGGAAAACCTGAAAGGTGTTTTTGATCCAAAATGCACTGGATGGAACAATATTTTTCCAATTGCTGTGTAACAAGAATATCGCTTATATTTCCAGAATACTGCAACTCATTATGATAACTTAATAACAGATTTCAATAACGCCATGGTAAAAAATTGAAGAAATTTAAGAGAGGTGATAATATATTTGAAAAAACCAGTATTCTAATTAGAGTTTCTGGGTATGCTATAAAGAACGTGCTTACCTGTTTAAAATTATCGAGCTAAGCTTGGCCGAATTCTTCTCAGGTGACTTGTAGATATCCAAAGAGTTACTTGTGAGTATAAACCATCTGAAAAAAGTGCGGATGGGAAATGACGTCACACTGGAAGCACAGAGATCAATCGAATTTTCAAGATCGATCAATCAAGTTTTCAAGATCGATCGATCAAATTTTCAAGATCAAAGATACCACAGAGTGTGATTATCTTCACGATTCTTGGACTCTTAGGCTCATAGTAATAGCATTGGAAGCGAAGAGAAGCAAGTCAAGAGCTAACACAAGACGAATGGTCATAACAAAAAATGCCCATACTTTGCACAGGGTATCTGGCGTGCAGAAGTGATCAAGACCTCTTTATCCACTAATTACAGGAAAACTTTTGGGCGGTCACTATTTACGACTAAGGAGGATAATTTCTTATTATTCTGCTAGCAATACGTAATGCTTCTTCTATCTTTGAGTTTAAATCGTTTCCAAGGCAATGCACCAACCATTTTACAAAAAAAACCAATCTAACACAATAAGCATTTGGTTCTCAAAAATTGCAAGACTGCGTAAATAAAGCGGAAACTTTTGCAACATACTGACTAGAGGAACTAATTGCTAATGAGAGTCTTAGGAACTATGAACTATGTCTTCTTTAAAGAATTCTTGGTGATTAACAAACGTTTGAAAATACCTGTTTTTAGGCCGTGCTCCATCTCCTTGTGTTGTTCGTAACAACCAGCCTGTATAAACGAGTTTGAAAAGGTTTCTATTAGTATTACAGTAAATTCTATTTGTAGTTTGGTGTATATAACAACCAAACAGTACGTACATTATCTACAATATTTGCGAAGCAGAGTGATACTACATAACAGCTGCAATGTTGATTTGGGTACTTCTAAGGTTTGAGCATGCAGTTGCTCGTACCATCAACAAACAAAACAAACAAACAGACTGTACATCTATCTGCAAACAATTCATAGGGGATACAATTAACTATAACAATACTTTCTACAGCATCGCATGGCGCCAAGAGAATACTTTTTACAGAACTCTACAGCATTTGATAATCTATGTCACGAAGTACGACCATGCTCCTTCGTTCTCACTACACTGTTATAGGACATATCAATCATAAGACACTTATATCAATTTATTGGTCATCGTAGTTTTTTGTTTCCAAATTGTTTTCCGATGAAAAGGAGACACCAAGTTCTCCTTGTTCACACCGATTTGCTTTAGTTATTAGCGAAATGTTTCCACATGCAGAATTGCTTTTGGCAATGTTTCAAAAAAGATCGACTTTGTTACACACATGTACATAAGGTCTTTCACATAACAGAATCGCTTTCTAGTCCTTTTTATAAAATAGCAACTTTGCCGGAATCATGAAACGTTTCAACCGTTTCCACCCATATTAAACGATTTTACAGGTTTTACAGATGCAAACTTTATGTTTTGGGAAAAATATCACAAAACGGCGACCGTCAGAATTTTTGACTACTGGAAATACGAACACCACAGCTTTAACACAGTTTTTAGAATAGCTGACAATATTTGTACCGTTTTGATTTTGTACAGTTAGTAGAATATTGTAATGTACTATAAATGAGGACTTTAATTCATAAATAACTTAGAAAGGCATTTTTGATAACACAATATTTGCCCAAGTGAATAAGATACTAAGCCGAGTTACACTTAGGCCCCTTCCACATAAAATGGGATATTTTGAAAAGGGTTTACTTCACGCCGTTTAGGACTTTCGTTCACATGTAGAAACCGTTTTCAGTAAAAAAATATGCCAAAACAACCTCCCTTTCAACACTTAATTCATTTCTTCGTGTGGATAAAGGAATTCTAAATCTTCTTTGCGCAGGTATCCAAACATATTCAGATCTTTAGATATTCATGACGTCATCATATAATTTGAGCATGCGTACACCAGACAGAGGTTATTTCATAAAGCATTAAAGAGCAAATTGAAAGGTTTAAAAAAATCCGCAAAAGTGCAAACTTGACCTTGGATGCTTAAAAAAATCACGGAAAAGAAATTAATGCGACATAATTTCTAGATGAGGTCTTAAACCAATTTCAGACGTGATCGACGCACACAAAGAACTGGATGACCTTTTAGATTCGATTTTCATTGGACGCTATTTGACAAAAACCCTTCCTTATAAGGAAAACGAATCGTCGAGTTTTGAATCAAGCATGTTACCTTTTTCAATGGCGATAGTTGCACCTTCTTCCTGTTGCCTTTCTTTAGACTCCTCGACAGCTGCAGGTAAACAGAGATTTTCACTGCTAAATTGAATTTCTAAACAAATCTATGTTGATAATATGTTAAAATTACAGATATGATATGACAATGGATGTTATCTATAAGCCTTTCTTCGCGTTTCTCCAGAATGACTTATAAACTGACAAACTCGACATCATCTGCTTCAGTTTCAAAAGGTTTTCTCCTACCTTGGAAAAAACGGAATGACGTCGGATAGGAACACAAAATGAGATGCAAAAGCTCACTAGGAAACGTTTTTGTTCGACCTTGCAAACAAATGCAGAATGTTTCCAATCATGAACAAAGGGTTAAAAAAGGTATAAAGTGTAAGATTGTAGGAAAGAATCCAATCATCTTTTCGTCCATTATCTACCCTTACGTTCAAAAAGTATTGGGACACACTTCGAAACTTCAAAGACATCTTATGCAACAAATTTGGAAAGGCTTTTTCAAAATCTTTCTCATTAAAAAAGTACGGCAGCTATTTCCATGAAATTTCCACAAGACATTGTTGATATTTTGAAGCCTTTTATGTACGCCAAGAATAAAAAATATCGACCATAAAATTTCTATAGTCCTCGAGACGAAAACATGGAAGCTCTTGAAATTCAAGAACTGAGTTAAGAGAAGCGCTTACAAATTGCTTTCTACTAAAATAAAGCAATTTCGTGATATTGCATCAATTGTCGGTTGCTCATTGGGTGCAGCTTTTCTGGTGTGTAAAAAGTTTTTCCGTACAAGTACAATAAAAATTTTACTAAGGGTTGGCAGACCGAAGAAGTTTACGAAGCCGAGGAACGAAAGGTCCTTTCTGAGGGTTTTGCGTAGTAATAGGTTTGAATCGTTACCAGACATCGTGTTGTCATGTAAAAAGAAGCTAAATAATGGAGCATAAGCAAAAACATAGCTATAAAAGTCATGAAAAAAACAAATTTTCCAGCGTTAAAAGAAGAAAATGCTCTCTCAAAGCAAAAATTAATCATCGACGATGAGTAAAATGGCTCCTCCTTGAATGTTATGCAATTTTAAAAGTAGCTTGAATAAATGCAATAATTTAATAAAATTGTAGCATTTTCGTCGACGAAGTAAACTTTTTTTTGAAGCTGAAAAGTTTGATTTTATAATTTCTTTTATAATCTTTTTTGTTATGCAAACGTGAAATTAAAAAGTTGTATTTGTTTGGACAGCTCTAAAATTTTTGGAAGGTCATGTGCCATTGTTAGGCCATACAACCCTTCTGCATATTTTGCTGTTATAATCAGGACAATCGAAAGAATCCTGAGTTTTCTTGGTTATGCTTCTTGGTTATGGTTGATAGATTATTTGTAGAAAGACTGCCCAAATCTGGAAAAGTTTCCGTTGCAAAACCGAATCCAACGGAACGCCATAATCCGTTTATCTAATTCGTCACAATACTTTTTTAACGTAAGTGTAGCAATTCCACGTTAAGAACAGCTGCCTGTAATAACTATTAAAAGTGGCTTCCTCCAAGTCAGCAGAAAATGATAGGAAAAGTATACCATTCGTTATCTACGAAACAGTACGGGCAAAATATACTGACGTAACATAAAAACAAAGCTACACATAACTCATTGATAAATTACCTTGCACCCAATCACGAGCTTCTTTTGGTGTATCGGCCATAAAACTGTATACTCTGTTAGCTGTTATGATGTTGAAACAGTCTGGTCTAAAAAACAATTGAACGAATCGTTTATCAACCTTCATCAAGTCGATGATAAATACCAAATTAAACACTGTACATAATTTCAGACCAATTCCCTTTTTAAACTGCGGTTTTGTACTATTATCCGAAAACACGCAAAGACCTCGAAAACAGGCTAAGCGATTTGAACTTGATCTTCGACCTTCGCGTTCTTAGTTATCTGTCCCATCATCTTAAAGGTCAACACAACAATGCACTGTGGAATAATATTTTTCATCGGCTTGGATGAATGAAACTCATTCAAAATCTTTCCTGGGGAGCGTAAGATCTTCAAAGAATTACATCGCTCGATAGATAAAGTTTCTGATGATAAAGGACAATTCTATATCAACAAACAAAAAGTATGTTTGTGCAATTTTGATATTTAGTAAAGACAAATTTTAAAGACTTTAATCTAACATTTTAATTTTTATATGTAAATTGTTAATGTAACAGAAAAAAATATAACTTAAAGGGAAAAAGTAAAAAAAAACCAAAGTACGACTTAAGAATAGGAAAATTTATAATACTTACTTATCAGAGATATCACAATTAACTGACTCGATAATGGCAGTGTCAACGGTGCCCTAAAATAGAATCTTTGTTACAACATAAAGCCACAGGCATCAAAACCGAAAAACTTCATGGAACTTGAATTTGAGAACTCAAGGTCAAATCTTTTATATTCAAGGAAATAGGAGAACGCAACTGTTTTCGTGAGTTCCTGAAAAAGCAACCAAATTTACGCATGCAGTTCTGTATAGGCACTGGTTCGGAAATACGTTTATTCTGTCACTTAACAAGACCTCGACCACAAATAAAGACACTTACAACAACAATAGCTGCCACTTTAAAAATAAACTTGCTTATCAGAGACAATAACAATAACAAAAGTTTTGTTGACAATCATGTTTAGTAGATATTTGAAACAGGTTTAAAAACTGCAAATCTTTTATTGAGTGCCCGGGTGCTCATTAAATTTTCCCACCGAAGGGATGCGATCACCAGCTTTCAAATATTTCTCCAAATCGCAGGGTTACTGAAAGATCAGTTCGATCTAAGATATATTTGATCTAGGTTACTGAAAGATCAGTTCGACCTTATTCTCAATATAAAAAGAAAGGGGCAGTCAAGAGTCGCCCCCCCAAAGGCCGCCACCGGTTTCCAACCCTTACACATGTAGAGATAATCTCAATGTATATATTAAAGACAAGAGAATCTCAAATGGAAAGACAGTTCATATTTGACCAAACATGGTTTGAAGCAAACTTTAAAATTGTACTTCACAGTGACATATTTACTTGATCATTTTGTAATTAACGTTAATCAAAAACAGTTTTTAAGTTTAGAACGTACCACTGCATTTTTGATATTGGCTGATTCTTCCTTCATCTCCTTGAGCTCCGAGTCACTCGCCCGCTGTACTCTGTTCAGCACACTGAACCACTCACTAGAGAACCAAACCAAATCTACTGTTAAAATCGGGTTTGAATCGTTTTTGTATGTCGGAACACTTCAAAGTTGAGTGGTCATTAAATTTTGCGCATAAGCATGAAATTGATCCATTTGAGGATAAGAACCAGAATTTGATTACAAGAGGCAAGCATATAAAAAGATTTCAAATTCCTTAAAGGTCGAGATATAGTTTCCACACTGTAATCCATTTTAATAACCGAGATCAGCTGATTGTGTTTATAGTGGGGATGACAGGGGTGGGGACAATCATGGCAATTCTGAGCGGAATTTGTTGTGCCAGATACTAGTGTTTGGTATATTGAAAATTGGAAGACTATTTTCAAATCTTTTTGACGTATCATGGAAAGTATTTCTAACAATCTTTTAGTGGTATAAAACTTGAAGTTTTCGGTCTATGTTCTGACGTTTAAACTCTGAAGAGTGTCAGACGAAAAGCTTTAATTTACTAAATGTTTGCTTTTTTCAAAGCCATTTTGAAAGTATTTCTTATGAAATCTCTTCGAGTATCATAGAAAGCAAAATGAAACCTTGATTGTATGGCATACACTGACTTCAAACTTTCAAGAAGAATAAAAATACTTCCTGTTCTTAACTTTGGTACGATATATTCATTATACATGGCATAACACAATTCCTTAACTTTGGTATTATACGTTAGAAGATCATTAACAAGCCTCTGGTTTTGACACAACCCTGGCTTTTATGAAGCAGATTGATCATGTTGCCACAAAAAGTTTACAATTTCAACTGCATACTCCTTTGAGATATTTGTCTTAGCTTGGAAATGTCAAAAACAAATCAGGAAAATATGTTCTGTACAAAATTTAACAAAGGAATCCTCATTACGTTTCAAGGAATTAAGCCACCCTTCTCAAAACAGACCCTGTCATTAGACAGCTTGATCTGGTGGATGCACATGCAGACAGAGACTGTAAACCCCGATGCCACGAAACATTACACTTATCAGTGAGGCGCCTTGAGGTGTGAGAATCTTTTTGACAGAAGAACCTTTTATCAGGAAAACGTCTAGAAGTTTAAAAGGACTACCAGCCTGTATTTTCATTTTCAAACGGTCACAAAAAACCAAAGATAGTTTTCTCAAAACGAATTATGCCACACAACTTATCGGTCACTGCGCTGTGAAGATGCCACTAACTGTTGTTTGCTCTATACAGATGATCAACAAACACTAGTAACGTATTACCGCAGTATCTACCACTGGAAAACCGTCGCCATTTTAATCAAGGTCGTCGCCATAATCGTACTCAATTAAATGCCCCCACAAAGTTACTCACTATAAAACTCGATGCTGCTACTACGTACCCAAAGTGCAAGGACTTTTTGAGTTGCCTCGATGTAAGAGGCCACCCCGAGTGCCTAGCAATTAACTACTAATTCATAATAGTTTTGACTGTCTCTCATACATCATAGCGGGTTTAACCAGGACGCTAGCAACGTAAAAATTGCTAAATGTTGTACTTTTGTAAAAAACAGTTCACTTAAATACAGTTTAATGAGCCACACCGTAGTTAAGGCCGGATCCACAAATCGTGGAATATCTGGGATAAAATAATAATTTGCGAAACAAAAAGTGACCTACTCGACTTAAATCCAAGACCATACAATTGTGAAAATAAACCAAAAATGAAATTGTGACGCTGTTCTTCAAACCGCAATCTTCAAAAATAACGGCGATAAAGCCGGCGCTGCATAAACCAACTTGCCGAGAATGAAATACAACGTTTTCGCTAACAGTGAAAAAATTGTATCTCCACAAATAGATTGCACATGAAAATTCTCTTAGCACGATGCAATGCAGGACGAAATGGATTAATGGAGGTGGATTGTCCTGGATTTTTCCAGAAAATATTTTGGATCTGAAGAGTAATCATTGGAATCCTCTGGTATTCAAGGGATAAATATTTGAGCTGCAGGATTTCCAAAGTCCAGGGGTAAACATATGGCTTTCGGGAGTAATTGCGTCTTTATTATGGACCAACAAAATGTCCTCTTTGTGAACAGGAATTCATGTTAACAGGTGAAGAGTCCAACTGAATATATTCACTGGAAATTTACACAAGAGACAAACGAGACAACCTTTTGCCACGCATATGTGAACTTGTAAGGACAATTTTGGCGGCGAGCAAAAACATATGAACCTTAAAACACTTTATGTGAACATAAACTGAGATGGAAATTTTAACAATTTCATAAAACCTCCAGATAAATTTTGGCGTTTATTAGGTATTGGCGGCCATACCAAACTCCAGGGACCAAAACTGGGGCCTGAAGCAGTCAAACCTAATGTACCCAAATTTGACTGAAAGGGTTTCACCAGCTCACATACCTCACAAGAATTGTTCGACCCCCACGGAAACACTTTGGGGGAGCGCTGTGTAACTGGCGTGTCAAACTTCAACTTATCTAGCTATTAAACGCTAATACCTGGATCCGTATCTCTTAGTTTAGAATACCGATCACTATATGATTGAGATAAGGCATGAACATGATTGATCATAGCCTCTGTTCTATGACCGCCTCCTTTACGATGAATCTGCTGAATCTTGTTAGACCTAGCCGTTTCCAACGAAATAGGGACTTTGATAAACAAATGACATTAGCTCATGCGCACATATGCCATACCCGGGTAAAATACGTATTTGACGCATAGGCCAGATCAGTCCAGTTTTTCCGTTTTGGACAAGCAGCGGATTTCTCTGTGATCTTCGACCTGAGCATGCTTATTGCTGTTCGTTTGGAGCTGCATCAACACTGACCTTGCGCTGATTGGATGACTTAGGAAGTTAAGCGGCTTCTGTCTAACGTGCCTGCGCCTGGGTCATTCGCCACGAGGCTTTGGGTCAATTCACGGAACACAAAGGCGATGCGTGGGCTGTGATTATATGATCAAAATGAAATGGAAAACGTTGCTCCTTCTGGAATCCATCTAGATAACACTTCCAATTAAATAAATGTAAAAAGGACGCAAAGCCATGCTTTTCTTAGCAAAAAAAATAAGGGGCAGTGGACAGCAAATTTAGCGGTTTATGTGATGCATCAAGAAAAGCAGTGATGCAGCAGCCTACTCTATCAGTGGTTTTCGAACTTGCTGCACCCTTTAAATCCTACTGGGTAATTGGCATAGAGCCAGGGGCTGCTCTTCCGCCCCCCTGGCAACACTCATGAATACTGCATAAGAAATATGAAAAGGTACTTTCAATGCCTAGAATGTGGCAGTATAGACTCGTATCACGATAACTAGAAAACAGAACACAGTGTGGCAAAACCACTTCCGCCATTCAATGGCTTTTCTTTCCTTTTCCTGAACGAGGGCACTTTTGTCTCACTTTCTGTTCTATTTTTCTCTTACTTCTTTTTACAAATAAATTAGACTATGATGAAGCTTCGCCTCTTTTTACAGACGAGGCGAAGTTAGATTTGTGTTGTTCTCCACCATTAAAGGCAATAATACACAGATATTCTTTTTCTAGAATAAAATGGTGTTTCGTGGGGCATTGAGCTTCTAGAACAGTGTCAAAACTGCACCCATGATGAAACTACAACCGAGACGACATTGCAAAAATTATTACTCAATGGCAAACCAAGGCTTATTACTGCTCGACAACCAGAACAGTAAGATATATTTTGCTGCTCACAGTTTAATGTCTCAAAGAATTAATGAAGTCAAAGATATTTGCTAACAACGTTCTCTTAGGCACTTAGCCATGAAATGCTTGGATGAAGAGATATTTTTCTACCTCAGAAATAAACCGTAATCAATATTGGCGATGTTACATACAGTTCGTAGGAATTAAAAGTCTTTGCTTGGATCTAAGGCTCTAGGCAAGTTTAAACGAATCTGATTTCTGAAGCTGTAGCAGCCATTCACAATGTTTGGCTATTGAATTCAAAAATATTCCAAAAAGCATTTACAACTTAGTATTGATAAACTATCGGTTTACTTGGCTTGCTCCTTATCTCATCAAAATGGTGCTGACAGTGGCAATGGCTTCAAAAATTTAATCACTAAAAACAAACTTACTTCCAGTCTTGGGCATTTTCCGATACAATGTGGTATGTTCTGTCTGGCATGACTATGCTAAATGCATTCTCTCTTTGTCCACTGTCCATAATAGTCCTAATGATAAAAATATTTCAATAATTACTACATTTTCGTCTCAAGAAAGTTAAAATATTTTTGTTTGAAAACAGAACTATTCATTCGGTTCTATTTGGGAAATTATTGGTCAGACACTCGCATTTCTAACCACGAATGGCTGCTTAAAACAATATTCGGTTGCAACTTTTATCAGCATATGAATTAGGCTAAATCTCTTACTAATCTATCATTTTTCAGGAATTTCATACTCTTAGCAGTGTCAGACGAAGAAACTCTAAAGCAGCATAACTGCGCTGTTCCGGGCAGCCTTGCAGTGTTGTACCACTAGAAACTCGATGAACCGAGATCTTGAACAGGCAAGTATTTAGAATAGAACGTCCCTTCACAGGCAGCGCACACTGGAATAAAACTTGCACTTTTGCAATGATCACTAGCAAGGGATTCTCTTGCCATGGGAGGAAAAGAGGGTTGAAGCTAATTCGTAGGTATAGGGGGCATCTCAGACAGCGAGCTCGCTGAGGAGCTAGTTATAAAGAATACACCTATACAAAAATCCAGTTTTCATTGAAAAGATCACTGTAACCGAGTAGCAGCTATGTTTTTATCCATGTATGATAAAGCAATCACGATCGCTAAAGTTTGCTCTTTAGGTATTGCTACGGCCGTGTATTCTTATTAAAACTCTCCATTTCTTTAATATGTTACCGAGTTTTTCTTAGTTGCAGCAGCTTTCTCATTTTGCACGTCATAAACTCCAAATAACTACAAAGAACGTTACAAAATCTGGTGAATGAAATTCTCACTTGCAAAGTCGCAGGTCCAATGTCCCCAATGTTTTTGCGCTGTCTTGATCGGAGTCGTGGTATGTGAGCATCGTATCTTTCAAAACAAACCAGCGCTTCTTCCAGTTGCGCCTTGAAAAAAAATTTGAATATGCTTTGGGCTAGTATGTCTTATCTTGACCTTGAAGTAAGCTTAAAATATATCTTCAGTGAATGAAGCGATGGAGGTAGGAAGCGATAAAGCAATGTCGAGGATTTGAGGTCACAAACCTTGATAAGGTTCCGGTACCACCGCCTTTTTTGGTCAACCATCCCATTTTTAAGGCTTTCTACAAAATGAAGAGACAACTCACTTATTCCAGAACTCAATGAAGCTTTTATAAATGCATATATGTTTGTCAACAAATGGAAACCTTTAAAGAAGAAGCCAATGAAAAGAGTAACACGTTTCGCTAAAGACTGGAAACTCCCAGGCCTGAAAAAGACAGAGATTCACCAAATGGTTCTTATTTGATTTAGTAAGTGACTGTTTCATCACAAGCCAATATTGAATTGAACAATCCTTGCTTCTACAAAGCGAAAGGGCACCATTCTAGTTATACTGAGAAAAGCCCCGGACAATCTAGCACCACCGTCTGTACCTGTTTTCCTCTAAACCACATCAATGTATCATCTTTCAGCACACACCAGTGTTTCTTCCATGTACTCATTAAACCACCTTAAATATAACAACAAACATTGATAACATTTATAACTTCATAGTAGCAACAATTTTGGTAGGAAGTTGAAGAAGCAAAAATTGTGCTAAATTTCAAAAACATACTTCGACCACAGTTATCTTGCAGGGAATAAAGGAAATAAAAATTTCAAGAAATTACAAGGAGCTATTGATAAATGTTATGACAACCCTCGTTTACAAATATATACGGGTGTTTTTTTAGGTATCGACTAAAAACCGTTGAATGGCATTTGGAATAACAGCGATCCATGTTATTAAAGGGACATATAGGGCATGACGATTCATCTACAATACCTTGCATCATAAGGTAGCCTTCAATAATCAGATTGTCCATCATAGACATATCTTCAGTTGCCTCTACTTTCAGTGCCTCGTCGTCATAATCCTCGTCTTCATCTATATCACGCATGTCCTCCATCTACGATATAGACACATTTAAAGAATTTTTCACATCGATATAATAAAGATTCCAAAGCATAGAATTAGACACATAAAGATTCGAAAATGGCTTTGAAAAAAGCAAACATTTAGTAAACTAACGCTTTTCGTCTGACACTCTTCAGGGTTTAAAATGTCAGAACATAGATCGAAAACTCTACGCTAGGAAATATATATACCCAGTTGTGGATCGAAATAGGCCAATCAGAAACACGAGCACATGACTGTATAGGTTGACCAGTCAGTGCCGCTTGCCTTGAGAATGTTACCAATGGAGTCCTAAGGTGAAAAAGGACTCCTTTTGTCTACACAGTAGCGGTTTTTTCGTGCTTATGTAGATAGATTCCAAAATTGCTAGGTGGAACAACGATCGGGCTTTACCAATAATCCGAAACATGTCGCCATTACATAAAGATTCCTTAAATATATTCATGATGGATTGAACTTTGAATTAGTGATTCGATGTCAAGCCATGCGCAATTCTCAGTTAAACTTTTTAGGCACCTATCTCGGGGTTATTTACCTTGCAATTTCCTAGTCACGTTTTCTTAAAATGGTCCATCAGCGTACTTTTACAATTTACAGATCATTTCCTTTCGATGTCTTTGTAGTCCACAAGCATAAACCATTCAATGAGGGTTGGCAAAAAAACATGATGAGAACACCAATAAAAATCTTTTCTAACATCATCATAAAACTTCAAATTATTGTAAAAACCCCCAAAAACAAATTTGGTTAAACAAAAACATTCTTATTCAGAATTCGACCAATATAAAAAAACCCTACAAAATTCTCTATATATGGTTAGTTCGAAATAAATAGAAACGCAATGAAATATATTGAGCCCACAAAAATTCTAGCTATATCAAATATTTTCTTGATGAATAAAAATAAACGTGATGAAACCTTGAGTTGTTCATCTAATTCAGCCATTTCTGCTATAGCAGCTTCTTCAGCCTCCTTTTCAAGCCTTTCAGCCTCTGCTTGGTGTAGCCTTTCAAGTTCTTCTTCCTTAAGTCTAAGGAAACAACAAGAGCATAAAAATATAAGTCAAAAAATCAAAGGCAAGTGAAAAGATTCTAGATTAAATTACGTGCGGTTAGAAATGTATTGTATAAATATTTACCCTAAACAATTTCGTGGAAATTGTTTTCTACACAACTTGGTGGCAACCAACAAAAGATCACAAAAATTGTTTCCTATTGAGAAGTTCCTACAAAAAACCTACTAATGTTTACACGGTAATAAGGATTACACGAAAAAAACGTTCTTAGATCTTTGAAATGTTTTACGATAATAAAAATAATAATAATCTCTTTATTTACAGTTGGTTTGAGCGATAGTTAATATACATAGATAATTATGTAAAACTAATAAATACCAACTATTTATATACATAAAAAGAAAAAAGGTACAATATTAATCTACCTATTTACATATTTTACAGCTACATTTATCTCCATTCCAGGCATGAATGCCTTTTTTAAATTTGGGTTTTTCAAATTTTAAGTTTTCCACATTTTTTATCGTATCAGGCAAGGGATATCAAGAGACGATTCAAAAAGCTATCAAGAGTCGTACTGTCCTTGAGAAAAATTGGAAAAAAAACATTCAAAATCTGTGAAAAACAGAGACAAGTGAACTAACCTGATTTCTTCCTCTGCCTGTCGGATCCGCTCCTCCTCCAACTGCAAGGCAACATAACATAAATGAAATAAAATAACAGGGGTTATTCTTATGTTATTTTTGGGGATAAAATTCTTTCATTTTTTTAAAATTTCTGTATGTACTTCCCTAAAGACATTTAGTAATACCTACATGACAAAAGCGATCCAAATTGTGAATCAAAAATTTAAATATATTTTCCACATGTTTCAGTTTACTAAAACTCAATAACTGAGACAACTAGTTTAGAAAACGAAATCAATAAAGCATAAGAAGACCCTCCTTTCTATAAAGTATAGTTCTGTTTACAGCTGATAATTTGAGGGTCAATAAATTACTCTATACAATCAATTGGCATCAGCACAACGTGGATTGATGGAAGGTAATGCGCTCATTAGGAGGAACTCGAGTAAGCTATTACTTAAAAGAGTTTGGCGGACTTCAATATACAATTAGCTGCTTTTGCATCATTAACTAAGAAATCTATCAACAATATACCTGGCGCATATGTTCTTTTTCATCCAGTCTTCTCTGCTCTTCCAGCTCCCTTGCTTTTGCAAGTGCAGCCAGCCTCTCCTCTTCCTCTAAACGACGTCTAGCTTCTTCAGCTTCTTTCTTCTCTCGCTCTTCTTCCTCTTGCTAAGAAACAAAGAAGGAGCTCATGATAATCAACATAATTTGTACAGACCTGGAGATAGGGCCTCTCCATTAATGGCCTAAAGCGATTATTTTGAGCAAACTAGGAATGAGTAGATGCCCATTAAAACCTGGGCACAGTAAGGATGCACCCCTTTGGCATCAAACACGATGTTCTCAGATTTAATGAAATAGCTTCTAAGTGAAACTACCGAAATCATTTCAAAATTATCGAAAAAGCTGTTTTCTGTTTTATCATAACAGCGTTTTGAGTATATTCATAAACATCAACATGTATATAATGCCAAAAATCCTTTGAAAATTTACTTTATTGCTGCTACGACAATGTTTTTTGTTTACAAAACATTTTCTGTGAAGCAAGATTCACCATTGTTTGATTCAAAAAATCTTGGACACATTATCAACGCCCTATGCATTAGTAAGCCACAAACAACTTACTTTCTGTCTTAGTTCCTCCAGTTCTTTCATCTTAGCTTCCTGCTCAAGTCGTTCCATTTCCCTAAGGAAAGAAGTAAAATTTGTTCAACTGCCTTTCAGTTTCGAGCAAAATCGAGTCAATGTGAATCTATTCTGCAGCTAAGATGATAACACTGTTTTAATACTGATCCTTATCGATATCGTACATTCAAATGTTATTGTAAATTTCAAATAACACATAGAGCGTTTAATTGAGTAAATCATCTTTTTTCTAAGTGAATTGTAGCATCTACGTCAGGTCTCTCTCCTTATAATAAAGTTTTTGTAAAGTAATAACTTAAATTCTGCGAAAAATGCATTTATTATTCAAGGTCTCGAAGACAAAAAAATGAAAACTCGCCAAATTCAGTACTGATACCATTTGAATACAATACAATAAAATACAATACAATACAATAAATACAATACAATACAATACAATACAATACAATACAATACAATAAAAGAAAGAATAATAAAATTTAAAAAATGAAAAAAAGGAAAATAAAAACATTAAAAATATGAGATAAAAGAAATATATATAGAAAAGAATGAAAAAAAAAACAAATTCAATAAATAAATAGAATAATAAAAATAATGAAATAAATAAAAAATAAATAAAATGCATAGAAATGCAACGAAATAAAGAAGGACTTTGACCATCTTTTGACCCTGAAATAATCTTCATCTTCCAGATTGCCTTCCCAATCACCTCAATAAATACCCGAATTTCACCTTTCATAAATACCTATACTACTTACTTTCTACGCTCTTCTTCCTTTCTTCTTTCCTCTTCGCGCCTCCGTTCTTCTTCAAGTCGCTTCTCCTCCAACATTTTCCGATATAGCACCCTAGATTTACGTCCCCGTTCATACTATGAAAAAGGAAATTATACATCGAATGAAGATTACCAACAAAAAGACGACGGTTCAACGAAGTGATAACAAACTGAAGAGGAAAAAGCAAACTTGAACTTGCATTCATTCTTTATAAATCAGATGCCAGGGTAATTTGAACATCGCATATTGCCAATGGTTCACTTTTTGGTCATTAGCATACCCCTTTCAAACAAGTCGTTGAACGAAGATCAAGGGCAGCGTTAGTAAGCATACACAAATCCAACAGATGTTTGGTGTCTAGGCCCTCTGTTGTACAGCACTGTTATAGCTTCTAAATCACCAGTAAAGCTTGCAATGTTATTTACCTTTTGTATGACAATCGCTGCCTTGCGTTTCTTGATGAATCTTGCACGATACAGATGGCACTAGAATTAAAAGAAAGCATCGGAACTGCAAAATTGCAAAACAAACATTAAAAAGCCCGCCTACTAAAGATTTGTCGAATGGAAAAGATTTTGTATAAAATTGAACAAAAAACTGCAACCAAAATGATGGGACATTTGGCAAAAAGAAAATCAGCGAATACAACGTTGACACTAATCTGGCCAACAAAGTAGCACTGATTCTTATGCAACTTGAATCGAGGGACATCGTTCTAGAAACTGTCTAATCATGACTAATTGGGAAGCTGTTATAGTTTAATAACATGCAAGAAAGAAAAAAAATGTACCTTGAACTTTGAAAGATGGAGAAACACTAGACATGGTAAATGCCTGCTTATCTTAATGGAAAGTAGATTAAATATTCTATTCTGCCCCACAATAAAGTACTCATACATTCTTCATACATTCAACTAAATACGAAAGCGCTTACTTTGTAAACCTTCTGAATCGTTATTATTGCTGCCCTGATTCTCAAATACTTTTTGCGAATGCAATAACTCCATATTCGGTTGTTAATAACTTCTGCGACTACTTTCATGCACTTGGTCCTCTCTAACTCAAGCTGACATTCTAGCTGGTCTTTCAAGAAAACCTAAGGAAAATAATTTCAATACAAATAAATGTATTAATACAAATCAGTGGCGGCTAGCAGCGGTACTAGTGGTACTGGTCTAGTACCATTTATTTTGGAAGCTCGAAACATCCCTGCGCCACCCTGCCTCTAGCTCGTTCGCTCTGCCATAAATTTTTTTGCTTTACTGGTACCATCTTATTTTCGTGCCAGCCGTCACTGATACAAATACAAATATAATTCAGGGTAGTTGAGATGGGAGGCTTTTAAACAAAAAATTATATAACATCGAGCCATACTCCAAGCTTGTTACCGCGTGCATCCCCAGTTTGTCGATATTTTGAATCTATTAAGGGCAGTGAGGTCTATAATAACTTAAAGTATGCAGGGGGTTTACAACCCTGAAGGAGTTAGTTATATAATAATACATAATCACGTGCTAAAATTGCTAGTCTTGCCCATGCTACATGCCCGGAATCTTATTTTTCGCATTTATGAAAATGAAATATTTAGCAGCATGTCATTCTAATAATATCATAATTATTAATATTAGAAATTTCAACCTTCGTCTTTCCAAGTTTATGAAGCTCAGCCTTCAAGTCCATCTGTTTGAGAACAAAAATACAAATCTCTTTTGGATCCTGATCAGCTGCAGTTTTCTTGAAGTACAGCGACTTGTACCTAAACATAAATAATTGATTTTTAAATAATTTCCATCAACATTAGATTGTTTCCGTAACATTAGGAAAATATATGCTGTAACTGAAAGTTAAGTATGAAAAAGTATAAATTGGTACTGGCCTTTTGCTGAAGTCTTGGTATGTTCTTCGAACCGGGAATCCGGCTTTTCTTATTTTCACTGTTTCCAGCATACCGCTATATTTGAGCTGATTTAAGACAAGCTCTGGCTCAAACCGGTTCATCACATTGGAATGTAATCATATTGTGAGTAGAAGAGCGAAACATCAGGATTTCCACAACCCTATGCTACCTAACGTTTGTTTGCTATGAACGGACACTGTGATTTCTGCATTATTCTAGTGCACTTTGGCTATTTACATGAACAAATTATAGTTGACATTTAAAATACCTTTTCACTGTTTGGTTTGATGCATCGAACAAAATAGGGATTTGCTGCATTTAATGACGTCATCAGTGAAAACAAAGAATCCTGAAAAAAAAACAAAAAATGTCCGTGACGACACATGGAAAAACAAGAAACGCCGGAGATACTTGCAATCAAAATTCATAATAAAGACAAAAGGTTCTTTGAATTAAGACACAGACTCGTACTATTCGAAAATTGAAACAGATTGCTTTCAACTAAACTTTCACTTTGGGTAACGTCTAAGCAAAAATTGAAGTAGTGTTCACTGGTTGCCCTACCCTTAAAATAAATGCACATAAACAGACAGTGCATTGATATTTGCTGAAAACAGATTAGGTTTCGTAAAGTTTTACAGAACCACAACTGCGTTTGGTCGTTCTCTGACAAAAAATTTGCACCTACTTTTCTAATAAAAATACACGTTCAAAAGCAAGAACTTAACAGACAATTATGAAATAGTAATGAAGTGGAATGTTACCTTAAATTGAGAACTGACAGTTGCTTTTTTTCTTCCCTTTGATCTTGTTCCACCTTCACCTCCAATTACTTTCAATGGCTCGAGGATGTCATAAACAAAATCGGACCTACAAAGACATAACTTAAAGATGAAAATGCATCATTACACAGTCAGACTTTAAAAATACATGAATTCATTCATTTAGTAATCCTATATATCATTCAGCTTATAAGTCAAAAATAGGAGAATTGTACATACAAGTTACAACTCCGAAATTCACGGTTAATGCAAACATCAGGTAACTAGCTTAAAGTTGTAGTTTTCTCCTTGTCCTCAGCTAACTATCGCCAATTATAGCAAAATAACGTAAACAATTAATGGTTGCGAATACTAATCAGAAAACCAAATTTGTCAGAGAGGCATAAACAACCTTAATTTGAAAAAATTGTCTCATAACAGCTAAAAAACAGAAAGAAAAATTGAATTTACCTGCTTTCTTTCAAAGTGTTCAGCAAATCGTCTCGTAAAGTATCCCGGTTTTTTAAAAGGAAACCCGTGACTTCGTAGAATACCTACAACAGAAATACAGGCACCATTCAAAATAAATTTGACCTTACTTGATAACAGCTACTGCAATAAAGTGCGTAGAACTGTGCGTCTTTTGATGGGAAATCTTTTACAAAACGAATTTGTTTAAAATTTCTCAACTTCTTCTCTATAGCCAAAATCGTACTTCGGGGTTTTTTGAAGAGAAAGTGGTCTTATTACAATAAACTTGATGTCTCTAAATTTCAGTTTTTATCAAAAGGTGTAGTGAACTCTTCAGATAGTCCTCAACTCAACGCACCTCTCCAGCATAATGTCTGATTCCAAATCGTCCGTTCATAACACGAGGCTTCACATAGAACAGATTGTCCTAAAAAGAAACTCTGCAGTTTTGCACTGACATCTCACACAAATATCAGATTAAATATTGTAACACCATGGTACCAAAAGTCATGTTGTGTTTGGTTTATGATAAGTGGAGTTACCTCTGATGAAGAAGTGTACGAAAAGAAGCACTTTAAATATCATGATAAATATACAGGGAATCAGAGAGCTGCAACGAAACAAACGCAACGAAAGTGATGCAACCAAATTCATCGAAAGAAATACAACTATGGAAATGCAAAAGATGTTTTTCTTCACTAAAACAATGAATAAATAAGACACTGTAAAGAGAAACTCACAGCATGGTTATCGTGAAGCTTACTAAGGAGCGATTTGTCAGTTCCTTTTGGGAAATGACTTTCTTCGTCGATCAAAGACAAAATGCCAAGTTTCTGAAAGAAAAGACAGATAACCATAATTACTTGATATACAAGCTCCATCCAGGTCGATGAAAAAATCAGTAAGATTCTAGTTCCGCGTTTCCTTGCTTGTCAATATACCAGTGTGTAAAGCAGTTTTATAAAGCGATGTTCATTTTGAAAATTTCTGCAGTAAGTCAAAACCTTTCGAAAAATGTGCATCAGATGAAGTGACTGCAAAGAGGAATGATGAGACAAGATATTCTGGGATGAAGCCAACTTAATCTAAAGGATGCTGAACAAATATCAGGTATATTTTATATATCCCCGACACTGATCCTTGAAAAACGATCCCTGAAGTTTCCTTTGTCTACAGTTTACTTTGGCAAATTATTGCATGTTTCATGAGACCACGTCAATAAAACTTACTCTTTCAACAAGATCAAGGCATTCGCCATTATCATTCCAATCAATATCCACCCATTCTAGTCCTTCGCTAAAATGGGAAAAAGGCATCATATAGTAGACATGAGCGTCGCTTGAAATCATTAATAAAATAACCACAAAATATCTAAAACTTAAAAAAACATTTCGATTAAAAGACTAACTATGGCTAATGCTAATCTCTTAGAAAAAACAGTGGTTTAGGTCCTTACGAATATAAAGTTGAAACGTGGCCTGCATTCAAATTTTCCATTTACAAGGGGGAATTGAGTTACATATTTCACTTAAGGAACCTTTAAAGTTGACGAAAGCAAGGAGAACTTGAGCGAAGTCTTAAAAACAATGCTATTGAAATATCTTAGGGTTTCTTTTGATCAAAGGCCCTTAGTTATCGAGCAAATGTGCCTTAAACTGTGTTACACCACTGGAAAAAGGTCATATTTGAAAGTTATGTATTTTAACAAACATTAGGTAATTTCATCCTAATATCTTTCTTTACTGGGTCAAAAATATTCACAGTACATTAAGTCAGCTTGTAAAGACGCCTTCATCTAAAACTGATTTAAAGCATACCGATTATACTCCAGCTGTTCCAAGGAAAATATGTGCTTGTTGAAGTATTCTTGTAGCTTTTCGTTTGCAAAGTTGATGTTGAACTGCTCGAAACGGTTGATCTAGAAAAGTCAACAACAGTCTTAAAGGTCTTTCAAACCTTTAACCAAATAATGACCGCCAGTTACAGAAATCACCCAACGGGTTTACCATGTAGAGCCTTGTTGTCCTTGGACGTTTAACGGATCCAGGTTCGCGGTTCAAACCTTGATCAAACATGTTATAAACACTTGCATGAAATGGGTTGCATCGAATCTATGACAGCAGCCATTAAGGTTGAGCGTTATACCAGCGAATGCTTATGATTAATCACATGCTATACATTTATCACAAATGCTTATGAACGATTCTGTTTAGCGCATCAAACTTAGCGCTCATCAAGTATAATTAATCAACCAAGTATTAGGGTACCTCCTTAAAACAAGTGTAATGTCCTAATATACGATATTTTTGTAGGCTTTGATTATGCTGAATACAGTCTAATGTAGCATTTATGAGGGAAGCATTCGCTGATGAAAACCTAAAAGCTTTCTCGCAGATGGCAGAACTTTACTCAATTTGTAGATTTTAGATGTAGCTACAAACCAACCTTGAAATTTTCGAATCCAAAAATATCAAGCACGCCAATAAAGAGATGATCACTCGTCCCCTTAATGCTCTTGTTTATCATTTTCAACAAATACTTGAAAAGCGCCGAATACAGAGACATGGCGGCCGAATCTCTTGAGTCTGCTGCTTGCTCCACCGTCAAAGGACTGAGGATCTCTTCACCCCTGAGAATCATCGACTTCTGCGTCAAGGAATCGTTGAGTTGGTACGAATCTAGCTGCAGTAGATTAGCTGCATTCTCCAAAACTATTGCGAAAATATTAAGTACTTAAATACCACACGTTTCAGCAAATAAAAGTTTCAAGCATCACTTTTCCTATCTGTTACGCTTAAAATGTAATTACAACTCAAGGCTGTAGATTTGCACATAACGTGCAAGAATATATTGTATATACTATATCTAGAAGCCAAGGAACCAATGAATCACCTAATGGATTATCAGTCGTTTAACAACATCTAAAGATGGTGTTTCTTATGAGCAGCATGCTCCTTTGCTATTACTTTAAGGCCGCTTCGTAGCCATGAGCAGCCTGTTTTGGACTTTAAGTGAGTTGAACAAAACGTCAGTGACCTACCACTTTTGTCTCTGACTTGAGCTCCACCCGTTGAAACGAACTCGATATTTCCAAGCATCAAAATTCCAGCAAGCACGTGTAGAACGTCGTTGATGGAAGAATCTGACAATCCAACAGTCCGCATTGCATTCTAAACAAAGCAATTGACTATTTAAATTTTTCGTATACTAAAAAATATTCTTAAACAGTCATCAGGGATATAAAATCTAACTTTGAAATATCTTTAACAGTTTTGCTATCTTTAAAACTTCAATGGCTAAGTACCAACAATATTTATGACATTTATCTATGATATTTATGATATATATTTATGACGTGTGTTTTGTGAATCAATTTGTGATTGAAATATTCTGCAAGTCAGTTTTAGTAACAGCCATGTGATAATCTCAAATTTTCAACTGAATGATAACGAAGAAATCGAATTTCACAAATATATTTATCCCAAGTTAAAGAGATAACAGGGAATACAAGAACTTTCAACCAATCAGAAAATATTTAAAACCCTTCAAATCGTTACACTCGATGAGAAACTACTTTTCAAAATATCAGAGTCAAAAATACAAACCATAACATTAAGGAAGTCCTGCTTATCGTCGATTGTTGGGTCGCTGGTGCAACCACTTTGTTTGAGGTAATAGTAGCCATTTGCATTATAAAGGCACATGTCGGCTACAAAAAATAAAAACAATTTAAAGCAAAAAACTGAAACTCTTTTTAAATGAACACAGTTCGACATGCAAATTGATAAAGGAAACCCTAATTTAAGTGCAAGGCAGGAATCAAATTTGTCTCATCGTTGATAAAATGAAAACACCTTGCTGTGATGGGAAAAAACTTCCATTTAGAATTCCATTTGCTTTTAGAGGCTAAAATAAGTCATTTTTCAAATGCTATTTTTTATGGAAAATAGAGAATGAAGATCCTGTTTTGAAATTACTGGTATTTTTGGCAAAGAAAGTCTTGTAGATTACATAATTAAAAGAGTGAATCATTAAATACATGAAATAAAAGAAGCGACTATAAAAATGGGTAGCGGGGGTTAAAAAAGCATTTGTTGAGGTAGATTAAAACGAATACTTGACAGGCAGTCTGTTTTATTGCGAGTTATAAACCTGTGATAAGAAGATCGAAAAGTCTAACCTCTTTGCTCTGCACTTGCCCCCGCTAACAAAGCATAAAAAATGTGGAAGTTCCTCTCGTCAGGGTTTTGTCGAACAACTCTGTTCTGAAAAAAGAAGTTATTCGAGATAAGCAATGATATAGAAAGCATAATATACCAACAACAAATAAAATGGTTTCCGCAAATGAATTTTTGCTTGACACGATTCTAAAAATCCTACGAGATCTTTACAGTCATTTTGCTGTTGTTTACTGCCATTCAGTTGCAATGTCTCAAGCTCAAATGACATTTATATCAAAACACTAGAATGCATTCATACACTTATTGTAAGTTTACAAAAGAGAATGAAGTAGGTGTAAAGGAAAAACTCTTGGAACAATGGCACTTACCTTCTCGAGCAAATCTGTTTATGAAGTTTATTAAGGGAAAAATGACTTTGTGAGCAAGTGATCCTGAACGCCAGTACATTTGAAATTTTCGATTCATTTACCGATAGATTCAAAGAGACGATATATCAAAAATAGGACTCACTAGTGCATACAATACATGGAATTGAATTTTACAGTCAAAATGTGATAAGAACCCTGGGCAAAGCAAACAAGCGATAAATAATACTAAAAATAATTGAGTAAGAAATGATACAGTCAACAACTTGTCCTCCTTGGATATTTCCTTTGGTTGTGAAATTCAGCTTGATAAACTTTCCAAATCTACTGGAATTGTTATTGTAAATGGTTTTTGCATTACCAAATGCTTCCAAAATGGGGCTAAAATTGAACAAAAAAGGGCGATTATACTTCTATTTTTATCTACCAGTGTCCAGCAATCATTACCCTTTATTCATGGGTGATGCATAAAAATTGATACACTTTTCTGGAGTAGAGGTTAAAACAGGTAAAACCATCTTTAACAAAAGCCATCTTTAACAAGTTCAGGAATCTTACAAGAAAAAACAACAAACAAAATAAAAAATCTCACATGTTGCTTTTGGTATACTAACAGTCTATTTTCTTCACGTCACAATTTCACGTCTATTTTCTTTTCACTTAAAAATGGCAGATCAATAGAAACATACCAATGCAAAAAACAGTACCAAAAAGCACTTCCTATAAAAGTACAAATATGAACAATACTTTGTATGTCATTTTTTCGACCTTTTTACTTACCTACTTTGAAGAATTGCTTCCTCGACATTGAGACCCCCTTCACACCCTCCTGCATTTTTGCTCATATCAGATAAATACTGTAGAATATGTTTTGTTGACTCTGTCTTTCCGGCACCACTCTCACCACTGAAATGAAATAATTTGCAACGAATAATTATAGGACTATGCTTTGTAATGATACACTTGACAATTATACTTATTAGAATAGATAATGGCTACAAAGGACTTGAAGCATAGAAATAAATGTAAATGCATGGCCTTTGAAGGAACTTAAGCATAACATTGATGCAAAGGTGGCTTTTAATATTAAAAAAATTCAAGACAAGAGCAGAAGGATAATATTGGCAGAAGAACAAATTGAAGTAATTCTAATCCAGTTAAGCCAATTCTGCCTTCTTGTAGTCTATATGGACAAGGGAGGGAGAGTAATAGGTAGAGGATAAGTAAACGGTTCTCTTCTAAGCTAATCTGGATCTGCCACAGCATGCTAAATAACTCTGCCTTCACATTCTGAGTTCACTACTAATGCACAGAACCTTTTCAACATTTTCAAGCTACTTCAGTCATTTGTCAATTTCAGACCAAATTTCAACAAAATTTTGTAATGTATGTGCAATTCAAGTTTTGAAAAAGACAATTTTAGCGATTATAATAATGAACATAGAAGCTCATGCAAAAAATTTCCATATGAATAAAATGCTTATAGAAACAACTTTACCTGATGAGAACACACTGGTTGCCTCCTTTTCTCCACAAAGAGTAATAGGCCTCATTTGCAATTGCATAAATGTGAGGTGGTCGATCACCAAGGTAGGTATTATTGTAAGATTTCATATGAGCATAGTCATAAATGCCTGGAATGATCTTATACGGATTAACAGCCACCATGATTGAACCAATAAATGTCTAAAATAGATAATATATTGATGAAATAAAATAAAATGAATATGGAGTTTGTGGTGAGTGGGATTGCGATGAGTTCATTTTGAATTTGTATTTTATTCCAGAGTAAGAAAATTAGCTTAAAATAATACACTGCTTAGAAAATCATCAATTCTAGGTTTACTGTTGTTCTGCTGATAGGCCCCACACATCTAATAAGTACCTCCCATGTTTTTGTAACATTGCAGAATAAATTTATTTTCTCTTATAAAGCCTATTATAATAAAAGGGGAGGCTTCATCTGAGACAACCATCATAATTGTTTATATTCTTGCTTCTAGCATTAAACTCATTCTGTTTTACAGGAAACCATCTATTAGACACAGCCTTTAGATGACAAAAGAATTAAGAAACTACAGTGCTAAAATGTGGTGGAAATGATTCTTTTTAATGATTAGGCACCTATCAAATTGACATAGAAAGATAGAGTGATAAAAAGAAATAAAAGCCCCTTTTGACTAACCAGGTGCTATATTTCATCATATAATCTGATGTTATATGCTTCTAAAAAGTAATTCCTATGGCATATGGTAGAGATGGTATTTATGCAACCTTTCATAAACTTTTGGCACCAAAATAAACAAAGAAAATTTGAAGCTGGGTGCTAATCCTGAGCTTTGTTTCTTATAAAAACACAAATGTAACCAAACATGGAATACTTTTAATTCTTATTTCATTTATTTTCAAGTCAAAGGCAATTAAAACTTACATATATTGTTTCCTTCTGGTATCTTTTGGATAAATTGTAAAGTATCGATGCTTCATGAAGATCTCCTAGCCTAGCCATATCATCAACACCTTCAACACTTGTGCTATGCATTGCTGCAACTTGGTCTCTGCCAAGGGCTGACTTTGAAAAGCTGTATTCCTAGGGAATGAAAAGAGATCACAATATTTGCAGAAAAATGGTCTCTCAATGCAAATGCTCTGTGCTTGATTCCCCCTTAGTGGATTACTATCACAATGTATTAAATTTTTATTACATATAATATGCAATTTCAATGAAAATTAATGTTTAATGGTTTGCCAAGGATTGCTTGGTACCATGTATGGTTATACATGCATTTGTGTATAGAACAGGATGGTTATAAATGGAATAATAAGCAAAAATCAAGCACAAAGAGGAATTTCCTGGTGAAGTGAAGTTCAGGTAATTGAATCTTTGGGCAAATTTCTGAAAAAGAGCTTGCAACATTTCATTCTCCTGGTTGATTAAGAACATGAAAAAAACATGCCACAAAATATTTGGAATGGTGCACACTTTCAATGCCTTTTCTGATGATTCCCCTGACAAGTATTTGCAAAAACTATTAACAAACTAATAATTCATACCTTGCCATATTCGCTCAGAAATTTTATTTCTTTTGCCTGAATATCTTTTATCACAGCAGGGACCCAATCATCATCTCCACAAAGCCACACCCTTGTACCCTTGAAGTATAGAAAAAATGCATAAAGCCAAGGTCAAATAGTGTGAAGATTTCACCAAACAAAAATGTTGAAAGATATGCATATTTTCAACAGTTTGGGGAGTAGGTGGTCAAACCCATACAATGACGATGAAATCATTGTATAGATACAATGATAGGGTTGGCATATACATTGAGAATCTTGAATAATTTTGACTGCAAAACTTTACAAAAACAGGGTATATACAAGGTTTTTGCATTGAGCTTTATTACTGAACTTCAAGTTGAGCCTTTTGAAGTTTCCCAGTTCTTCTAAAAAAGAATTGATCAAAAGGACTTCACTAGTTTTATGAACAGCAAAATCATACTGAGCTCCACACAAGGTCAGTTCATTGTAGCATTTTTAGATAACCTATTTGAAAACACTTGTAAATAGAAAGTACAAAAGAAAGACAAGGAATCAATAAAATAACATTTTAATATTTTGGAAGCTTTTCAATACTCTTAGAGGTTTTTAAGAATTTATTATTGGAATACTTTTTTGATAAATGTCATGCTTTTTATGTAGCCATGTGGATTTTCTGTGCAACAGTGTCTTGCAACCAAAGAGCAAGAATGCAACAAAATAATCAAAGATCACACTGCTATTTGCAAACATAAACAATGCAATAGAAAACATTTTGGCCATTATGATTATGATTAATTTTCCATAAAAAGAACTCCTTCCAAAAATAATGTTGTATTTTTTGATAGAATAATATGAAAGTGCAAACTTCTGAAAAAAGTTTATCTATAACTTAAACAGACACCTTGCTTGGTAACTTAATTCACTTATAATTATCAGGCACTTTTCCATCCATGTGTATTTATATTTGGAGAAGTAACACCGTAGAACAGTGTTATAAGGCCTTTTAACATACTAACTGGGGGCATGCTACTACCCAACAACAATGATTTTTCATTGTTTTAAAAAATTGGCTATTATACTCATCTTTCTATAAACAAAGGCTTGCCCCTAAGCCAATTTACCCTTTGAAAAGTATATGCATATAAACATATATTTTGAGACATCTTTGTTGCATTAAAAAAAAACTCTTCCCCATTCAAGAATTTAGATAAACAGTGATAACTGTTCCTGAATCCTTCCTTAATGCAAGGTCATCAATTTTATAGCCAAATATTTCATCTTTATGTGAAAATAACTGTGAAAATACTCAATAAAATTCTACTGAAATTCGTTCAAGTATTGATCAGACAAGCTAAATTGGAATTACTTTTGTGGTGTGACCTTATCAGAATAATTAATCTTTAGCAGATGGTGTACAAGTTAAACAAAAGGCAACATAGTTTCATATGCTATGCACATGGCTTAACGTAATGGTTGATTGTTAAGCCATTACAGCTGAAAATGACGTCCAATAAAATCTTTTAAAAGCCTCTGCCTTACCATACCTGGCAAGGAAGGAACATTAAAAATGCCTATACTTCTGCTATACAATGCCTGGTAATCCAATTCATCACTTTGAATGAAATGTAACACCGTAGAACAACATTTTAATTTGCAAATTTTGTCAATAACCTAAGTTTTTAGGAATTCTACCTTAATTTGCTAAACATATTTTTCTGCTTTACTTGCTATTTCCTGGTGTCAAATCTGAAACTCAAGACTGATCAAAGCCCATAAAATACAAAATCGTCGCAGGGCAAACATCTGTCTAAATGTTAATTCTAAATTTTCTTATTTTGATTCAATTCTAATTTCATTCTTATTTTGATTCAAAACTCTGTAATCGGGAGGCCAGTATGTTATCGTGACTACCTTGTGACGAAAATAATTTTTTATTTACAATAAAATGACTACCAAAGGTGAGGGAAAAGGGTGCAAAAATACATTTTAAAAACAAGCAGTTTCTATCAGACTGTTGTCCAGTACAATACAAGCATCTGTTTAGGGTTCATGAATCCCTGTGTTTGCATAATTGGCAAAAAATCAAATGAGCTTAGTTGAGACCTCGGGCCTAACATCAGCAGACTGATCAGACATGCATCAACAGCAAACAGTCCTGACAAAAAGTGTCCTCGTTGGCATGAAGAAAACAATTCATGTAAATAAACGCAAAGTTATTTGTTTTGCTCACCACATGTAGTCCTTCCATGATTTCTTTTCTCACCTAGTCATGATTTGGAAATTCCAATACAGAAGAGTTCCGCCGATTGCAACTGACGACAACATGCGGAAGGGAACAGCCCAAATAATGGCCTTATGCAAATGAGCAGCCCATTTGGCAAATCATGCATCACGTGACCATGCTCGAAATTTGAGTACATGTGTGGGTCTGTTTTTCATCGAAAATAATGCAAAAATACAACCTTAATCCTCTGAAAAAGGAACAGAACATCGTTACAGAATAGGAAAATTAGGCAGAAGGGGAATTCCTGCCTATCAGGTGACTCCGATGAAGCCCTGCAGGCGCGCAACTACGGGGGGGGGGGGGGTCCTGGGGGTCCAGACCCCTGCCCTTTTTCCTGGAAAATTGCTTGAATATTTTAACTATTACGCTAAAATGGTTGGTCATACAGTAAATGACACACTCCGGAGATGTAATGGACCTCGCAGGAATACAGATAAATGATTTAGTCAAACTTTCACGCACTTGTTGGGTCGAACGTCATCATGTTGCAGTAATAGAGTCTATCTTCAAGCCCCAACTCTACAGCGTGTTTTATGATGCGCTACGCACTGGCTTTGAAGAAGAATGGTTCTGGGACTCAAAAACCAAAATAAAGGCACAAGATTTTGAACTGGATAGAGCCTCTACGACCTCTGGTAAAAAGTTACAAGAATAAAAACCAAGACATTTTTCAAGCCTGTCACATAGTTGACAGGGTCATAGAAGACCTTTGCATGAAACGAGCGAATGCAGAGAAATATTTTCGGACTGGTATTAGCAAGCAGTAACTATGGCACAAAAAGTTGATGTTCAGCTGTTCCGTTCCTTGTCAGTATTACAAATCAGCTGAAGGCAAGACTTGGAGACAGAAACCAGCTGAAGGCAAGGCTCGTGGAACTGTTCAACCTCCTCCAATCTGTAGTGCGAAGCAAAGAATTCAATAATAATATTTTAAAGCGCAAAATGTCTTCGGATATGGAAGATGATGGGTTGCTATTCAAAAGTGAGCTGGCGCTGGGAAAAGGAGATGACAGCAGGGTCGCCGAGAGGGGGACAAAGGGGCAAATTGCCCTAGGGCCTCGAGGTCTAGGGAGCCTCACAAAGCAATGAATTCCGTTTTTAAATGGAATTTATTAAAAGTAACAAAATTACAATTGAAAAGTAAAACATCTTAAACGAATTAGTGAATTTAAGCTATTTGCAAGGGTGTGGTGGCAAAATTTTTGCTCGCTTCGCTCGCAAGAGGCATTGTTTTTTCCATTTCCCCCCTCCTTCGGGCCTCCTAAACTTCATCACACCTCACCACAAAATAAACCGTACACCACAACTTTTCTCTATTGATCAGTTTCCCTTGTCTGGCGTACAATATTTACAGATTTACTAACTGCTCATATTTTCGGTGTACCTAAACAAATGCCCCGGTGGACCTTTAATGAAGTTTAATTAGTGCCCTTTTTGTGTCTTGGACCCCTGCCCTCTGAAATTTCTGGTTGCGCGCCTGCCCTGTATGCCGGGGAGAAATATTAGTATATTCCTTAAATTTAATTTATTTTGAAAATTTTATCTCGTGATATTGGATTCTCGTCGTCGTATTGCTTTGTTCCTGTATATCGATCAGGTGAAGCCTGAAAAACTTGCGCATGTGTTAACTTATACGAGACTTAACATGTATCTGTCGGGGAAATTTTAAAAAAGAGTGAAAGTAGACAACTTTATATGAGACGAAATGCCCCATGATAGTGAAAAAATTCAATTATGTATCATAATTCGTTTATATCTGATTAATGAATGATAATTTGTAATGGCTAAGTTCGTCTAATGAAATCGAGGTTGAAGGGACCGACAAGAGTTACCCTTGTGCCTATTTCATATTCTGGTAATTTCATATCCTGGAAAAGGGGAAAAGTGCCCTTTTTCCTGGAAAATTGCTTGAATATTTTAACTATTACGCTAAAATGGTTGGTCATACAGTAAATGACACACTCCGGAGATGTAATGGACCTCGCAGGAATACAGATAAATGATTTAGTCAAACTTTCACGCACTTGTTGGGTCGAACGTCATCATGTTGCAGTAATAGAGTCTATCTTCAAGCCCCAACTCTACAGCGTGTTTTATGATGCGCTACGCACTGGCTTTGAAGAAGACCAATTATGTATCATAATTCGTTTATATCTGATTAATGAATGATAATTTGTAATGGCTAAGTTCGTCTAATGAAATCGAGGTTGAAGGGACCGACAAGAGTTACCCTTGTGCCTATTTCATATTCTGTGACATCGTCCAAGGGCAAACTTTCATTGAGCAGCCAATATTTAAAAATAAAGTGATTATCTAGTTCAATCAGTCACGGTGAAGGTAAATGATGGCTAGAACGTAAAACAATGAATTTTCTAATGTCTCAAAATTGTCTTATTGTCAAAATTGTCTAAAATTGTCTCAAAAAGGACAAAAATTAAGGCTTATTGTATTTTGCGAAAATTTTCGCATAATGCGAAAATGCGAAATTTCGCAAAATACAAGTTTCGAGGTGGTATTTTGTAAAATGCGAAAACTGATTCTAAAAACTTTATTTGCCCATATCAACGACCGAAAACAAGCAATTCATATTCAGGGCGACTCTGTTCATGCAAATAGCCTAGCTCATGTCCCATTTAACGTTAGATAACTCATGGACACATTTTGGAAAATGGTTCAAAAACCAACCACACCAAGGCCATGAACGGCCTAATTGTGAATTGCCCATTCCAGCCCGGTCTGCAGAGTATGGCACTTTTCGACGAGATCTCCGGTGTGCACGAGCAAAAAGCCTGGTGTGCCGGTGTGCTCCACCAAAAATGTCTGGTGTGCTGGTGTGCATTACCAAAAATGTCTGGTGTGCTGGTGTGCACCGACTATTTTCCCCTGTTGTGGTTAAAATTTGTGAATTTGCATTTCACCGTAAAAATGCGTGTGATGTATACTGTTGAAGATAGCGCAAGGTTTTATTTGTATATTTGCCAAGTAAGATTCATGATACCTCAAATTGCTCCTACAAAACTGTGCTTGTTTTTATCAGCTGACATTTTCTATGGGACCACACCAAGCCACACCCATCTTAGTTGCCACACCCAAAAACACCTGGTGTGCAACAGGTTTTGCACCAAAATATCTCCGGTGTGCACATGCCATACTCTGCAGACTGGATTCCAGCGAAAGACGATAACAGTAAGCATCCCGGTGCTTGCTAATTGGTAATTGGTAAATACCCAACATTCTGCGTGTTCTGTGTTGTTTTAGGAGTAATTTACGCCTTTATCCACAAGGCCTATTTTCCTGTTTCCTTCCCGGTGAAACCCGCGTGGCTGGAAAAGGACGGGGGTGATGTCAAAAGATTTTCGCAAAATACAAAATGGCTGGGGGTTTTTGTATTTTGCGAAAACTCGCCAAACATTGTCGAAATGCTAGTTTTTATTTGAGAAAATGTACGAAAAGGCTTTGGACTGTATTTAAAATCTTGTCAATTGAGTAGGCATCAAAAGATTCGATCAAATGAAAGGATTTTCGCAAAATACAAAATGGCTGGGGGTTTTTGTATTTTGCGAAAACTAGCCAAATATTGTCGAAATGTTAGTTTTTATTTGAGAAAATGTACGGAAAGGCTTTGGACTGTATTTAAAATCTTGTCAATTGAGTAGGCATCAAAAGATTCGATCAAATTAAAAAATTTTCGCAAAATACAAAATGGCTGGGGGTTTTTGTATTTTGCGAAAACTCGCCAAACATTGTCGAAATGTTAGTTTTTATTTGAGAAAATGTACGGAAAGGCTTTGGACTGTATTTAAAATCTTGTCAATTGAGTAGGCATCAAAAGATTCGATCAAATGAAAGGATTTTCGCAAAATACAAAATGGCTGGGGGTTTTTGTATTTTGCGAAAACTAGCCAAATATTGTCGAAATGTTAGTTTTTATTTGAGAAAATGTACGGAAAGGCTTTGGACTGTATTTAAAATCTTGTCAATTGAGTAGGCATCAAAAGATTCGATCAAATTAAAAATTTTTCGCAAAATACAAAATGGCTGGGGGTTTTTGTATTTTGCGAAAACTCGCCAAATATTGTCGAAATGTTAATTTTTATTTGAGAAAATGTACGGAAAGGCTTTGGATTGTAGTTAAAATTTTGTTTTTTTGAGTAGGCATCAAAAGATTCGATCCAATTAAAGAATTTTCGCAAAATACAAAATGGCTAGGGGCTTTTGTATTTTGCGAAAACTCGCCCAACATTGTCGAAATGCTAGTTTTTATTTGAATAAATGTACGGTAATGCTTTAGAAAGAGGCTTTGGGTTTTTTTGATAGTGTAGCAGGAACCTATAACAAAAAGGTGCATGCATTTTCTTTGGCGCCAGACAATGACTCACTTCTTAAAAGAAATTAGCAGGACGCCCATTATTTGTGTCATCAACGTGTGAAGACTTCCCTCTTCTCATTCATAATGACATTTTTCTTTTGTTCTACTTCCTGGGTGCCTATTTGTGCCAATCTGGTGACATTCCATGTGATTGAATTTTATCGGTTGGGCGAGTTTTCGCAAAATACAAAAACCCCCAGCCACTTTCGAATCTTTTGATGCCTACTCAATTGACAAGATTTTAAATACAGTCCAAAGCCTTTCCGTACATTTTCTCAAATAAAAACTAACATTTCGACAATGTCTGGCGAGTTTTCGCAAAATACAAAAACCCCCAGCCATTTTGTATTTTGCGAAAATTTTTTAATTTGATCGAATCTTTTGATGCCTACTCAATTGACAAGATTTTAAATACAGTCCAAAGCCTTTCCGTACATTTTCTCAAATAAAAACTAACATTTCGACAATGTTTGGCGAGTTTTCGCAAAATACAAAAACCCCCAGCCATTTTGTATTTTGCGAAAATTTTTTAATTTGATCGAATCTTTTGATGCCTACTCAATTGACAAGATTTTAAATACAGTCCAAAGCCTTTCCGTACATTTTCTCAAATAAAAACTAACATTTCGACAATATTTGGCTAGTTTTCGCAAAATACAAAAACCCCCAGCCATTTTGTATTTTGCGAAAATCCTTTCATTTGATCGAATCTTTTGATGCCTACTCAATTGACAAGATTTTAAATACAGTCCAAAGCCTTTTCGTACATTTTCTCAAATAAAAACTAGCATTTCGACAATGTTTGGCGAGTTTTCGCAAAATACAAAAACCCCCAGCCATTTTGTATTTTGCGAAAATCTTTTGACATCACCCCCGTCCTTTTCCAGCCACGCGGGTTTCACCGGGAAGGAAACAGGAAAATAGGCCTTGTGGATAAAGGCGTAAATTACTCCTAAAACAACACAGAACACGCAGAATGTTGGGTATTTACCAATTACCAATTAGCAAGCACCGGGATGCTTACTGTTATCGTCTTTCGCTGGAATGGGCAATTCACAATTAGGCCGTTCATGGCCTTGGTGTGGTTGGTTTTTGAACCATTTTCCAAAATGTGTCCATGAGTTATCTAACGTTAAATGGGACACGAACTAGGCTATTTGCATGAACAGAGTCGCCCTGAATATGAATTGCTTGTTTTCGGTCGTTGATCTGGGCAAATAAAGTTTTTAGAATCAGTTTTCGCATTTTACAAAATACCACCTCGAAACTTGTATTTTGCGAAATTTCGCATTTTCGCATTATGCGAAAATTTTCGCAAAATACAATAAGCCCTTCAGTATATGTGTTGCCTACAGAATTGTTTATATTTCTAAATAGTCTCTTCGTTTTCGTAATTTCATTATTTCTAAAAAAAGCTTGATGTCTACTTTTGTCGACCATTACTGTGGAAATCACCACATGTGTGGTTAACTTCAATGCTTTGATGACATGCATCTTTGAATTTTTGAGTTTGGAAAGAGGCAAATTTTGCTTCTATGAACTCTGAAGACTTCTAAAAGTCTGTTTTGTCCTTGTGATAAATTTTAATATAAATTTCCCTGAAATCGCTTGTTAGTTTTAAATCCAAATTGAAAGAATATTTTTTATTGTAAGAGAGATTGTAAAGTAGGGAATGATTTCAAAGCTTTAATTTCAAGATTCTGATTGTAAGTAACTCCTTTTTAAAGTTTAGGTTTTTCTAATATTGTATATGTTTAAAACAGGGCCCTTATTGATAACAGCACCTTTGTTACTGAAAAGGCAACCCTGTATAAATAATTATAATTATATTATTATATTTGACCAAAAGTTAACCAAATGTCAAGCCTGAAACGCCAGAAAATCTTTGAATTGAATTGTCAGTCAGATTAAAAGGTGGGGTCTAAATTTGAAAATTTTTTGGAATCTCTATCTCGTTTTGCTTTTCAGTACTCCACCAGCAACAGCCTCATTCTCCAAGGTTACGAAACCTCTCAGTAGCTCTGGTTCAGCCACTCTCGTAGCTTTTAACGCAGCAGAGCCTAGACTTTGAAACAGCTTATCCGGGAGCGACAGAGAAGCATGAAAATTTTATACAAAAATGCCCTTTTAATTTTGAAATATGTGATAAACACTTGCCGAATAAAATGACCCTTTCGCAAGAATATTATCACCCCTGAGAAAATTAAAAATTGGCACCTTTGCTTGTTACCCTTTAAAGTTAATCTTAATCAAATGATTAATTGAAACAGTCTGCCTCTGGAAGCCCAATTTCGTTCAGGCACTCGTTCAAGAAAATACATATATTATTGATTTTTATTGAATTAGGTTCTCAAAGAGCAGTAAATTTGTGGAACAAATATATATCAATAACTTTTCACTTAAACAAAGTGATGATTAAAAAAGTTATGAATGTAAATGTGTGTTTCTAATTGTGGTTTAACTCAATAAAGGTACCAAGTTACCTAATCTCGCCAAGTCATTGACTCAAAATTCCACTGACCGAAAACATAAAAAATAGAAGTTGTTTTGTCAGCCTCGTTTTGATGCTGATGCTGCGTACAAAACCAGAGCATGGACTTGTACATGAAAGAAACCTTGCTCTTCAGAGTTGGTAGACTGCTTTTTTGATGTAGTTCCTTTTTTAAAGCATTTATTTACGAAGTATCTTGGTCTGCAGCCTATCACTTTAACTTAAAAGTTGGCATCAACTTTCTCAGCTAGGAAAACTTGGATGTTCTCTCAAAAACTCAGCAAAACAAAATGATGGACGCCGATGACCTAGATTTTCCTAGCGATTTTTGCTCGGATGAAAATTGTGGTACGGCTGTAGTCCAAAATACATTGCTATTTAGCGCTTCACAAGATGCAGAACCGTCTATAGTTGCAGGTGGGTTATATACATATGAGCACAACTCGGTTTATCCGAAGTTTTACGACACTGAGACGTCCGTTGAAGAACCAGAGGAGAGTGAAAAGGAAAGGACTGTGGTTCTGTCAACGACCCAACCACTTAGGCCCTTCTATAACCCAATTAACTATGGAATCCACAAGCCATGGGCAATGTCAGATAACGAGTATCTGTCAGGTGGTGGTGGTGGTGACACTGGGTATACTAGTGCTGGGAGCATTTTGAGAAAGCCAAGGCGGCCTGTTGGCAAAGTTTCAACTGTTTTAGTCGGATGGAATGTTGTAAACATGATGATGAATCTGAGTATTCTTGCAATCCCATACAGCATTGCATCAGGAGGTCTTATCTCAGTTGCACTCATACCAATTATAGCAATAATGTGTGGATACACTGGGAAATTGCTTATTGATTGCATGTATGAGCATTCTGTTCGAAGGAGAAGGTATAAAACACGGGTGCGCCTAGACTACATTGAGATTGGACAAGATTATTCAAATTCTGATACAGGAGGTAGAATCATCCACGTCTTGCAAGTTATTGACATGCTATGTGTCTGTATTTTAAACATAAATGTGCTTGGAGCTTTATGTTTTGAAATTTTCCATAGTCACTTAAGTATAGAGGTTTGTACAGCTATTGGGGTCACCATTGCTCTGCCAACATTCTTCATAAGTAGACTAGGTTTAATAGCCTGGATGCATTTAGTTGGTGTTGCATCATTGGTTATTGGGCTCATTCTTGTAGAAGGATATTGTGTGGCAAACTTTAAATATTGGAGTATCAGAGACATTCCAATCTACAACTTAGAGAAATTACCAATATCAATTGGCATTATAGTGTGCTCGTTTGGAATTCATTCTGCTTTGCCTGGAATAGAACAGCAGATGAGCAAACCAAAGCAATACCGCCCAATGCTTGCTATTACTTTTTCATCTGCAGTGGTTGCTAAGATGCTGGTTGGCTTCACAAATGCATTATTATACGGGACCAAAACAGATGAAGTCATAACTGTAGACCTTCAGTATCATTTTGGCCTAGGGATTGCCTCAGCTGTCTTTATTTTCATTTCAGTGCTTTGCCTTTTTTCGTTACCAACATTTGTCATCATGGAGAGTATAGACAGTACCATTGCAGAGATGTTTCCTTTTTTTCAAAGGGCTGAAAATGGATACAGTATTTGGCTGTCAGTTTGTAACCGCTTCATGATAATTGCCCTATCACTGACAGTGGCTATATTGGTTCCTCATTTTGCTTTGCTGATGGCATTCATTGGCAATACAATAAACACATTGCTGTCATTAACCATACCTTGCATTTTTCATTTGAGAATGAAAAAATCTCGTTTGCGATGGTATCACCATATTTTCAATCGGCTGATCATTGGCCTTAGCATAATATCAATGCTTACCGGAGTTTTCTTTACTGGAAGAGAGCTACACAGAAGCATGACAAAACAGAAATAGACAGTAGTGAAAATAAAAGAAAGTGGAGCAAGAAAAACAAAAGTGAAAATATTCTGTATCTAACATTGTGTAGAACCAATGTGTTTGCTTACAGCATACCAGCTGTGTTTTGTTAAGACCAATAAAGTAATTACAAATTTTTAGTTGAATCATTCTATATGTTCCTTAACAATTGTATACTTGCAGAAATAAGATTGTAGACTTGCAGAAATAAGGTTACTGAGAATGTTGCTTGATTACGGTAAATAATTAAACAAGATTATAGAAAACATTAAATTAAAAATAGATTTTCAGTGGTACAGTTTGTAGCACCTAATGCAAAATGCAAGTCAGGCCAAAAACATTTTTCCATTTCTTGTAACAGATAGATTAATATATTTTTAATATCTCTTCTGAGACACTTTGTTTCTAAGATCAGTATATTATAAACAGAAAGAACTGTGATGGCACCAATTTGGCCAGTTTATTACAATGTTTAGTTCATATTTAGTTGTAAAACTTATTAAACAAAATCACTCATGCTTGTAAAATTTTAGCTTTTGTTAATATATTCGCCTTTTAAAGAAACCTTTAGGTAACCTTAAGCCCATTTTTATATTTTATTATAAAACATTTCTTAAGTTATTGGTTTTTATAATACCTTTTTGTCATATTTTTATCGCTTACTTGCTGTAATTATTTGTACTTCTTTAGTTAAATATAATATTGTACACTGATAGAGATTTGCAAGAGATTTGATAGAGATTAGCCTCCCTCCCTTTGATAGAGATTTGCAAGAGATCAAACATCTCTACGCTATTATGCATATAGAAACTGATATTGTTATGTACTCTTTTCAATCGTTTTTTTAAGATAATTACTCTTCCTTTTTTGCCATTTCTTCAACTCGAAGGTTTCGTTTATTACTCATAACAATTTATAAAGATTGTGTCTGTGCGTCCCTCATTATGGACGTCCCTCAAAAGCTCTGTTTTTAATGGGCAGCCCCCTGGGGAGGGTCTAGAAAGGTTGAGAAAAGTAGGGGGTCTAAAAAAGCCCCCAGCCCTTTCTTCGCGCTGTCTTAAAAAGCTAGTTTTTTTCAAGCCCATCACGAGATGATCAACAGGAACCATATACCTTTTAGTGGACAATGCATTTTGCTGAATTTCTAAAAAGCACATTTTGCTCTTAGGCAACGTTTTGACGAACCCTATCATTAATAACTGTTCAATAAACAGTTCTAATTCATGTTTACAATGAAAAGAGTACAGATCTCATGATGTGCCTAAAAATTTTGTTCGTGGAATTTTTAGGTGGGAATTGAACGCGATAATTTGGTGCTAAACATACTAACATATACTACGATTCAAGTTGTTGGTATGCCCCCCCTCCCCCCTGTGTATTCGAGAACTTTATTGCCAAGGTTAGTTTTCGAAATATTCAACTGAAGCCCCTGTACAATGCTGTTTCCAAATAAACAATTCATTGTCAAACAATTTGGCTACGGGCATATCATCTAAATTTGAGGGTGTAGAAGGGGGGATACTGCTAGTCAGGTGATAAAGGTTAGTCACTAGTCAGGATTTTTGGCCCCAGTTAGTCAAAATCTCTTTTTAGTAAAAAACTGTTGGTTTTAACATTGTTTCATAGTTTCATATTAAAAAAGCAAAATTCTTATGAGTTCTTAAGCAAATTGCAACAAAAAACAGCCTGACACAGGACGTTTAGCAATGATTTCAACTTCTAGATCCGTCGCAGATCAGTCATGTGACTATTTTTGCATCCAAAGCGCTTGCGCAACACAAAATCTGACCGATCCGCGGATCATTTTCTGGAGTGTGTTTTCGGCTTTACACATAATTAGTCATTAGTCGGTTGGTAAAACAGTCTGTTGGTCACTTAGTCAAAACCCCTTCTACACCCTCAAATTGGCTTACGTCATTTATCAATCAACTATGGACAAATGCCTCCGGAGTGTTATTATGTTTGCCTGAGCCACGTAAGTATTTTCGATTGTCTTTCAGATGGAACTAAATGGTTTACTCAAAAATTGACTATCTAAGAAAGCAAAATCCCAAGAATAACTACCTTGCGACTGTCAATAGAAGTCTTTTAAGGTCAATGTCTTGACAAAATAACCATGTTTCGACGAAGTGTTGTTAATCATGCATAACCTGAGCTTGTTCGGCTTGATTAAATCCTTCATTCGCTCTTTCTCCTTCGTTTATCTGCTCGTAGCCTCCTTCTCTCTGGCCTAATCTTTTCAAAAAACACATAATAAGAACAAAGGAAAAAATGGCGTTGATGATAATCACGCTCCAGAGCAAGTTTTGGTCTTCACTGTTTGTTTGTATCGATGTCTGCGCGGCTATAAACGAAAAAAGCAACACAGACAACATTGTTATCTCGATGATATTTTCCATCCCAAAACCCCAGCAGCCATCGTTACCGTCAGCTGTACGAAACGGCTTTGCATGTGTCTCCAGTATCAAAGATATAAAAAATACCGCAGATACCAATGTTGTTTTGACTGTGACGTTTTCATCAATGAACGTTATGAGAAAAGCAAGAAACGTTCTTCGCAGCATCAAGAAAAACTCCATGAGCACACGATAGTTAGGTTTATATGGAATATACAGTGAGCCTAGCCATTTCGATGTAGTCAGGTGCCCTTCAACTATGTGCTCTCTCTGCCATCGAAGCAAGGAAAGGAACAGCACAGGAACTCCTATCACATACAAGACAATACAAAACAGCGCTACGAAGTATAGCAGCTTGTATTCACTGCTGTTGCAGTCGATCCAAACGTAGTTTGGCATGTACGAAATACCTTCAACTTGTTTGCAAGGAACCAAAACTGAAAAGGTGGCTTTTACTAAAGGAAAGTAGGATAAGTTCAAGAAAAGAATCGACAAATGGGCGCACTTGTATTTGAACTTTTCGTACGTATCAGGCAACTTATGTCGAGCCGTCATGCGAAAAAGAAAAGATGCTGTTGCTAGAACCATGCATAAACAGAGTGGCAGCAACATTAGAAGAAAAAGTTTGCCTTGAGGTGTAAATATTTTGGGAAGTCGACAGCCTAGCACAGAGAATCGTAGGTTTACAAGACTGCTTATGAAGTCTGAAAAGAAATAAACAGCTGTTGGCCAAATATGAGTCGAAGCCACAAGAGCATCAATAATTTGCATGTAAAAGACTGCAGTTTTCAACAAACCTTTGCCAAATTTACCAAAGCCACCAATGGCTAGTAAAAAAATGAGTATATTGATATCTGCTAGCCAACTTGGTATTATTCCCATAATTGCTAGAATCAACACGGCAACAGCTTCAAATATTGCAAGCAGGGCAGCAAATATGCGCCGGTTACGGACGTGCAGCAACATACTTAGGCCTAGCAGAGTGATCATAACAGCAGCCAGTACAATTGTTATAATGCTTTCCTTATCCTTACTATCAAGGCATTTATGACAATGCTGTCCAGTGCTGTAATAGCCCTGCTTACAACGGCTGCACAAACGTCCATAAGAGCCTTCAGCACATACATGCTCATCAGACCCACAAACCGTTATCACCTGTCCAGATACTTTTTTGGCGTAACAACGAACCAGTCCGGAGGGGTTACAGACTTCCTTTCCAGGCAGTGTCCAACGGCACTTAACCAGCTTGGTCACGTTCTTCATTGTAGGAAATGGCCAATAGCCTTTTGCCGGTTTCATAGAAGTGACAGTAAAGTCTTTGCTATATTTGCCTCTAGAGTCATTTCTGACTATACTCATCCTATTTACGAGGCCATCACAAACGCCACCAGTCATGCAAGACCGGCAAGTGCCGCCGTGACCGTAAAAACCAGGATTACACTGGCAATATCTCCTTTCATAGTAAGCAGAATCCATCCTGACTAAACAATTGTTATGCTTCAGTCGTATCACAGGGCATTTGATATTATCTTCGACATTTTCTGCGATCATTTCTGTATCATCAACCAACATGTATTTTTCTTCAATTTCGCCTTTCATCAGTGGGTTCTTCCGGATGTCTATTTCTTGCAATAATTTCAATTTGATTAAATATGACACAGGTAATGCATCCGACGTGTTTGTGCACGATGCGTTGAAAAAAACGATTAGGCCAAGACTACTGATTGGGTCTGGAATGCTTCCGCTGAGATGCTTGTTGCCACCCAAATTCAAAAAAACCAACTTTGAGAACCTGAATATACCACTCTTAAGGTTAGAATCGTCATTTACTTTGTCGAATCTGCCATAAATGTCACAATCTTGTACATCCAACTGATTCAAGGACTTGCCACTCTTTCCAAGAGCACCAACAAGACTGTAAATAGACTCTGAAAATTTTTTGTTCCGTTTTGCAACAAATGAACTCAATTTTTTACTTCCAAGAACGAGGCCTTTCTCAAAGCCTTCAATTTGCGTATTCGATATGTCGAATATTTCTAA